TCACAGGCAACTATTAAAACGTTTAGATTCCTAGCTTGTAAATATTGCATTTCTCACAGAATTGGAGTGAAATCCAGTGTTATGTTTCTTGTTCATCCACTTCATATCCGTTGGGATGCAGCATTTGTGAAAGAATCAATTATCCATTTGTTAGTCAGAGAAGCTTTACAAATTATACATTAGCAGATTGATTTCTCAGGTTCACCATTGGGGGACTAGTAGTATAAGGTGGGTTGATGATGAGTGTCAGGGGAGAAGGACTTGCCACAAAGAACACAATTAAAAGAAGCTTTCTGAGTGGCCGTGAATTTGCTCCTAATTGAAGAGCTGACATAATCCATACTAAGTGCGTTTATTTCAAGCATTTTACATTAGGTAATTGATTGTCACATGAAGTACATTTGTTGGCACTTGATTTTCCTTTCCTTTAGATATAGGAGTTTGCAGAAGCCTGCATTTGGATTATGTGCAAGATGCCTGTTAGCTTTTTCTCCCTCTCCCAAAACTTTTCATTCTTCCATTAAGGTAACATTTTTTTGTTCTATAGTGTCAGCTTGACATTATTGATTTTGAACAGCTAAACTTACTTATGTTGTCCAGAATTCCAAACATGTCTCCATCAGAAAGAAAACTGCAGCTAATGAAAATTCAGTTGAAGATGTTTCTTCCTGTTTTGCCAGAACCTCCACACTTTGTGAAATTCTGAAACTCTTCCCAGGTTAATCATTACAGTGTATTTCCTTCCCTAAATAACAGGATCCTCCTTATTGCCAGATTTGGATTATGTTGCTTTAGAAATACTATGTGTGTTAATATTGTTTATACAGTACTGGAAGTATCACTGAGACCACAAAGAAGTTGTGTGTTTTTCCTTGTTTGGCCTAAAGCTAGGGGTCCTGATTAGGTTAAAAAATACTGCCTACTGTAGTGCTAATTAAGTAATTGTTAGTAGTTCTCTCAACATTTTATATGCATCTTTCTGTGATTTTATGGCATGAGGCTTAAGATTAGGTCATCTGTTGGTTGAGTATTATTTACATGGATGATATGTTCCTAGTGTTTAGATTGACCGTTTGATCTCAGATTGCTGTTAAAATACTTAGTTTTTATTATTTGTAAAAAATATGATGCCTATAAATTTGGACAAGTTTTTTTCCCACCCAATTAAAATACCTTTAAAGTAGTCAGCTGACCAAACCTCAGAGCATATCCTGGTTCCTTCTGTGTCAAATGATCAGTCCTCCAGATGGTGATGAGTTACTGATTATCTGTGTCCTCTCTAACCTTGAGTGATTGTTCATCTTTTGTTGACCTTTGTAAAGGTAGATGTTGCAGGAGAGGCATTTATCCTCTATACTGTAAAACCCAAAACCTATTTTATTTTTCTAGGCAAATTAAACTCTTTGGTGGGTTAGCTGGAATAAGTTTTGAATAAAAACTTAAGGGACAGATGGTTGTAACTCCATGGTACAAGTAATAATCGTTAATTTAAAAAAAAAAAGAAAAAAGAAAAAAAAGAAAGAAATAGAGGCAAGGTCTGGGAGAGTAACCCTTAAAATTATCAATCTTCCTCTTTTCTGAAATACCAAAATTATCCATAGGGCACTAACAGGATTTGAATACAACTAAGTTTGAAATGGTAAGTAACTTTATTGACTGGCACAGCAGTATATTTATAAAAATAATTTATATGAAAAAATGAATTGGAGCTAGAAGAAACACTTTGGTTTAGATAATAAATGTACCAATTTTATCTCTGTGGTCTGATTTTCTAGATAAATAGATGGATAGATAAGATACAAATATTAAACAGCTTTCCAGTGGAATTTAGTTCTGGAAATGGTAAACTCGGCTGTTACTTAGCTCAGAGCAAGAAGATGTTAAGATTAGCTATTCTTCCCTGTGCTGGAACTTCATTTAAAAATGCATTGAATATTCAGATTTGACTGTTTTTTAGTTGATGTGCTATCACCACTTTCTGAGCTCCATAGAAAGTTCTGACTAGTAAAATCAGTGAATGTACTAGTAGTCCTCAGTACCAACTATTCAACATCAGTGCTGAAAAAAAAAATACTCTGCGTTTGCTTTGCCTTGTGTACATCACCTAGACTATTGTCTCCTGTGAGACAGGGAGCAGGTTTGCTCTTAGTTGAGTTTATTTGTTTTCCCTGATTGTCATCTGTCTCTACTGCAAACAACAGGAAAAAAAAATAGAATTGGAGAAAGTTAAAAAGTTCAAAGCATCTGATAGAGATGTTGGGCACGCAGAAGGCTTGCAACAAGTTGCCAGTTATATACAGAGTCACAAAACATGATAACATCTGATTTTTACTTAAGAAACTAGTTCTGAAGTATTGTGCACAATTTTAAATGTGGAAAAAAATTGCAAATATTGTGAAATTGCCTTTTCCTGTTTCATTCTACGTGTATACAAGAAGACCTTCTGCCTTGCTAGGCATCATTTGGTTACCTCAGTACAATTACGTTTCATCTTCAAAGTGTGCCATGTGGCTTCCAAACTACAGCGTGATATATAAATTCCATCCTCCCTCCTCATCTTCACATTTTATGTGAAGAGAACTTAGTCTACCTTGCCTACTTCCTTCATTTAATTTTTTGAGTGTCAAACTTCATCAAACCCATTTGCCAGCAACATGGGATCCGTGGACTGCAGAACTGAGCTGTCAGCTCTTCTCTACTATCCTATTTTGTTTCTTTTTGTCTTGGGATTTGTTGTAGTAGGGTGTCTCCAAGAAGTCCCGTCATGCATGAATGCTGCTAAATCTATTGTTGCTGCCATTCTCAGCCCTTACAGCAAATGTAGATGCCAAAGAGATGAACCGTTCGAACACTTTATCTTGGCATATGGTTATGTGTCAAGGTGGGGCTAATCAAGGTGGACTTTTTGCCTTTCCAATTTCAGAGTAATAAAAGAAGGGAGAAGGTTGTGGCAATGGCAGCTTAGGTGCAGTGGGGAACAAAAAACCCAGCTGCTTCCATGATGAACTCAGTTGAACTTCTGTACTTGGCCTTTTCAGAGGTCCAGAGGCATTTCTCATTGCAGAGGGAATGATGGAGGTTGGCATTTCTTCCCCCCCTCTCTCAACACAGACAAAATATTCCCTTGCACTTTGATAAGCGAAACATAAGTTTAAAAAAGACAAGGTAAGGCAGGAATAAAGGCCCTTCTATGCCGTTTCTATGAAGCTTCTAGACAGTGAGGCTGACAACTGACTTACTCGACATCCTCCAGTCCTGGAATTAGCCTGCTGTAGCATCTGAGGATCAGAGCTTTAACAAGGATGTTGACTGCACCAGCAGGCTGGTGGATTTGAGCTGTGCTCCCCGGCTGACACCCCCCCAAGTGTGCTGGGAGGAACACAGCCAGGGAGCTGCCTGCCCCAGCTGCCTGCATGGCCAGGGATGCGCTCGCTCCTGACTTTGAAATGCAGCAACGCAGTGTAGCCACTCTGTGGTGGATGAAAATCCTTCTGAAACACAAGTCAAGGGAGGTTAGTTTGACTTCTTCCTGGGCAGTGCACTTTGTGGCAAACCACACACAGCAGAAAAACGACTTTGTGATAGGCAGTAGTTATGGTATTTCCATGTAGCATTTTGCAGAGACCTAGTGAGACCAAGAGTGCTGTATCCTGCACACAAGGAAGTGGGAAGCATAAGGGCTATTAGCATCCTTTTCCCTGCTCATCAGACAACTTTTGCAGTGCAGGGTTCAGTTGTTCAACCCTGACTAGAAAGAAGCTTCTAGAAAATGAAATGTGATTTGGTCATATATTCTTTCCAAGGTAGAAGACAGGGAAACTTCATTTCCCCGAGCTGTTTTTCTTTGTTTGTTTGTTTGTGAAGGATTATGGGGAAAAGCTTTCCAAAGGCTGTGAGAAGACCTCAGTTTATCTCCTGTAGATAGTCTATCTGGACAGTGTGTTTTTATATAACTTTTTTGATGTAATTCCAACTGCCATAGTGTATATTAGGACCTGAAATATTTTAGATACAGTTGTGTAACATCTAATGTCACCCTGCAACTCCAGCAATGTTCCAGTGACACTTTCTTTTCACACAAACACATGATGGATTTTTCATTTGTCATCTGAAGCAATCTGAGTTGTGGTTAATTCCCTCCAAATTTATGAGTAAGAACAGTTTTTCTTAAATGTGTAAGAGAGACTTTATTGGGTGAAGATCCTTCAGTGATGCTTGAAATAGTGAGGTATTTGTTACAGAGGGTGAAATCAGGATCATGGCACATAATGTTCTTGGTACTTGAATGTAATTGCATGGGGTTTTGTACATGAGAGGATATGCATTGTGTTACCCAGATGATAAGTTAGTCCTCAGTACTTGGGGTAAGGATAGATGTTTAAGCTAAAGTAAACAGTAACAGATTCCATATAACCCTGTAGATTAGAACCAAAAGCGTATCTGGATAGAGAAAGGGAAATTTATTGAATTGGTGCAGTCTTCAGAAGTTTTTCGGCATTTGTCTAAGAATGAGTAACCTGTGTTGCACTTCAGTGCCTTCTAATGCTTGCTTCTTATTAAAGGCAAAAAAATGAAAGCAAGAGAAGGGATTTGAAGGAAGAAATAATTACTGGTATAGCCATCAGACCAAACCAGAAGATGTCTGTGTGGTCAGTGTGTTTTATGTGGATTTTTGACAGCAGGAGAGGTTCTTATTGAACAGCTGTGGCGTGCAGGTGCAGATGCTCAAGATCTGGGAGCTTCATGCTTCACATGAGCTCTAGAGCCTTTTGTGTAACTGCAAAAATGTCAAATTTTTGTGTTAGGCAAAAGGCTGGAAAGATGGCTGTCTTTTGGCATTGTCATAGAAGTACCTATTTGGGGGGTTTTTTGATTCATGCAACTAAGCATTACACAACCATTAACATGTAAATCTCAGAAGTGTTGGGGACAATAAAGCATGTGATTGGTGATGTACCTTTAAAGTCAACTTTAAATGTGTCTTTTCTCTTCTCTCACAGAGTCCAGTGAAGATAAATCAGATCAGCCTGGATGAAAGTGGAGAGCACATGGGTGTTTGCTCAGAAGATGGCAAGGTATAACAAACCCATTTCTATATTTAATGAGGTAGCAGGTAGTCCTCAGTATTACACTTGAGATAATGGTGATATCTGTGGACTTAATTCCTGCATTTAGCACCACCACTTTGACCATCCATTTTGAGAACTGGACTCACCTTTGAATACACAAAATTAAAGTCACATATATTTTGCACAAATGTGCTGTAGGAAAAGTAATTACACGAATGTCAATAATGTAACTGGTATTAAGCTGATTAACAGCTGTGGCAGGAGGACATGTCACCTTAATCATTACTGCTGTGCCAGTTATACTTCAGTGACTGCTGTTCCTGCAAGACAGTGGTTTAATGCCTTTCTGCTATAAATCCACAAAATTGGATTTTGTGGGCATGATTTCTGTGGGCTGGTAGTTTTCATTTTCACACACGTTATGAATGTTTCTCTTGAATTATAGAATCTTTTGATAAGCAATCATAGTTTATCAGAAGAATAAAGTGTCTCACAACAGCCACATTAAATAAATGTAAAATCAATATATGTACAGTTTCCTAAAAAACTGGCACCTACTTCCTTGACTGAGGACATATATTATTTGTGCAGTGTATAACTAACAATTATCAGTGCTTCTCTAGAATGTTGAGCTGTGACATTTAGTGGTTTTGGTGATTGATTTTCCACTTATAAGAATGTCTTTTTTGTTTTTAAGTCGATGGCAGTCTTCTCTAATGTTGGTTTGCGATGATAAAATTGTAATGCACAGGGTGTATTTAAGCTTGTACAATGCTTATGTACAAATGCAGTGCATTAAAAATCATTTAAATCATTTCTCAATATCCATCTGACTTACTGTGGAGAACATTTCCTACAGAATAGACTAGATGGGAGGAGCAATGTTGGTGATCCTAATGGATGCATCCCATTCAGTACAAGTTCTACAAATTAAAACTAAAATTGGATTTTGCAATAAGCAAAATAAGGAAATGACCCCCCTACAAAGTGTGTGCTTCGGTTTTTACCTTCCCAAAAGGTGTTATTGTTTTTTCTTATCAGGCAAGCAGCCAGTTTATGTATCCAAACCTTTTGTTTCTCAGGAATATCTTGATGTCAGTATCTTGACACAGTAATTGGGATACTAGTGCCTATCAAAGTGGGTTGTATAATTTTACAGCCTGTGAGAAACACAGAGAGGGTGTTCTAATTGCCTAAGTAAGATAAGGGAATGGTCAGTAATTGTGCAAGGTAATAAAAATGTGGAGCTAGCATGGTTGGTTTGGGTGTTTTAAATGGTGGACAGAAGCAAGCATTTGCTGTAAGGGCTACTCAGATGTGACTGTGGGTTGCTGACTTGAAATATGTGTGTTGCAGTGAGACTAGAAGCCACACACATATTTAATATATTAATGTTAAATATATGTATTTGATATCAGAAACATTAAAAAATCCATAATCCCTACTCTGGTGTGGCTCTACTTGTAAAGACTCCAATACTTTCAGGTTTAATCAGTCTTCATTTAATGAAGTAGCTATTGTGGATCCAATAGGTGACATTACATACAAGGCAGTCTAAACTATGGTCTTCAAACCAGGGCTAATTCCAGTAATGCTTTTGATGCAGGGATGGAGTATCATAAGTGCAGTATTCATCATATTTACATTTATGGAGTCCAAGGATGTTGATGCTTCACCATATTCTACACTGAAAAGCTCGTGTGGAGATTAGAAAGATCTAGGTGTCTCTATAAAAGAATCCATCCCTAAAATGGGTGAAAACACATACTTGTTTGTTGTGCTACTTATAAGAAAACAGCAGAAATTCTTGTCCAGATAATGTAGCACTTACAGGTTCTGGGTCAGAACCAACATGTACCTTAATGCTCCATACAGCTCTTCCTTTACTACAGTGGGAGTGTTCGTATTGTAAGAAGCTAAAAACTTGTACCAGTTTGGTTGCAAAGTCTTCATTCAGTTAGATAAGTAAAAGTAGTGAAACCCTTTTTTAAAAAAACAGAGTGAAATAGCTTAGTTTTCTTAAATCTGTTTTAAACAAAAAAGGAGTATAATAAAAAGACCTGTGAATTTTTGAGCCACCTGTGTTGATGCAAATATATTCTGCCAATTAATGAAGGTATATCCTCTAGACCGCTGCAAAAGATTTCTGCAATAGGCAGGGAGTGCATTTTCCAATATCAAAGTGGATGTAATACATGGGACCATTTGTCTTCTTGAAGGAAGGCGTTATGATGAGAACATACTCCTCATATCCATTCTGCTGTCTGAAGTATTTTATTTTACTACTTTTTTCTTTCTTTTCCCACTCAAACTAGGTTTGGACTACCTACATTGACTGGGAGAGAAGCATAGCATCACAATGCAATTCTCTAGCCCTCTTTTTGTCAGGCAGCATCCAGGCCTAGTGTCAAAACCCGGCCAACTGTATGTCATTCATGGTCAACAAGTTCCTTGGAAGCCACTTGCAGCTTTTCTGTTCTGCACATTTGGGTCTTTGAAAATCTTCTGTGCCAATATACTCAGAAGCAGCTGATCACCACTGCCATAGAAAGGAACAGAAGTTGAAACCAGCACCACCACTCTAGTCTGGCCACTGTCTGAAGGGAATGACTACGTGTTAAAATACTAGGGGATAAGAGGAGAATTTTGGCACTGGTATAAATAGAGGGGGAAGCAGGGTTGCCATTAGGTTACTTTTTCTCCTACTTGTATGCTCTGTTGAAAAAGCTGGATCTGACTACTCCCAATTTTACTAAAGCTCTCTTAAGTCATTACATAGCAGTATTATAAATTATACCTTTATTGATTTATAACTCTTTTTATACAAAGAAATATAAACACATGGGTTTTCAATATAATTTCTATGTTTTAGTGTAATTTTTAATGTCTGTAACATAATTTATGTTAAGAATATCCAACAACTATTACATTGATCATTTTTTCCAAGAAATGTAACGTGTAGATGATGTGTTTGTTGTCCTGCCTTTTGCTTACTGAAGGTTGGTTGCTTCTTCCATACATGGATGCACTGGAGTGCTTGGTTCTGGATATTTAAAATCCGAGTGGACTGGCAAAATATAGTGGATTGTCATAATTAGATCCTTTTTCCAGATACCCAAAAAATCATGAGCTGAGTGGGAATAGAAAGCAGAAATAGGTAATCCAATATAAGTTTGTAATATCAAAAGAATCACTTTATCTCTAAAGAATAAAAGACATTAAGAAGTAATAAACTGTTGCACAGCATCCCTAGAGTAAAGATGATAACATGTATTTTATGCTGAGCTTTTTTCTCTTTAGTTAACTGGCTCAATTTTGTTTTCATAGTCTTAAATAAATAACATAATATTGCTGTGTTCAGTGTAGTATCATAAAATGTTGAAGGCACTGTTGCTAATGTTAATTTTTATTGATTAGTTCTAATTCGAGAGGGGTGTTTTGTCCTTTTTGAGGAGTTTGCTTCCATGGAATTTGCAGTGTTGTCTTTTAACCATGTCTATACTTTTTTTTCCTCCTTTCTTCTCTCTGTCTTATTTTCTCTTTCCTCTGTTTATTTTTCTTGTTTAGTCTGTTTCATTGGATATGCTGTGCCAACTGTGGAAAACAAAAGAACAGAAACCAAAAATCCTCTAGACAGCAGCCCGGAGGTTTTCTAGGCTTATGTCCAGGCCCAACTCAAATAAACTCCTTTGGTTGGCTATACATAATCACACCTTTGTGATGCATCTCACTGTCTCCAAATATTGATTTTCCAATCCTTTGGAGCAGTAGCTCAGGCCTACACACTGAATGTAGCAGTATTTTTAAAGTGTGTTGTTAGAGGCAGTGTATTCGCTAATGAGTAACGGACAGAGCTGATAATGCTGCTTTAGGGAGACGTATCTAGGAGACAAGCTTGAAAAAGAGATGAGGTGGTTTGAGATGTTTTTAACTTCACTGAGGCTGCTGAACTTTGAGCCATTGGGCTGATGGCTTAGTTCCTCACTGATGGCTTAGTTCCTCTTGTATTTTACCTTAAGTCTCGTCTTTTTACTCTTGTTTCCTTGACTGCAGGAATTTGGGGTGTTTGTGTCTTCTGAACTGATCTTTTTAGCGCTATTAAGCCTCACTTTTTGAGGCCCCTTGCTGGTATTCTCTGGATTTGATCTGCAGAACTTTGCCCAGTGGTTTCTTGTTTGGTTGGTTGGGTTTTGTTACTATTATTTTTTAGTTTTCCCTTTAAATTAATAATGAATGGGATGAGGAGAAAGAAATAAGATTAAAAGATCCCTCAGATCTTTGAGTTCAGCTTCTTGAATATGCAGAGCAGAGTTGCTGATGGGATTATGTTTTTTCAGAAGATACAGATAAATGACTAAACCTGTCTGAGAACCTTCTAAAGTAGGTTTGTCGTCATGTAATTTTCCATGGATTACTCCATGGGAAACTTTTTTTCTCTTCCTTCTCCCACCAGCAGTGTCTATCCCTGTTGGTGTGATTTGTTCCAACAGCTTCTGGAAGTGGGTGGAAACCTGTTAAAATTATGAAAAAAGGAGATAGTTATTATTCTTTGTGGAAATCATAATTAGTAAATCAATTACTAATTACTGGCCATAAGTCTTCAGCCCTGTTTTACTCCTTAGTTCTGCAGTTGTCAACTGTCTCATCAGGTAGTTGGGGAAGGAATTATTGCATGTTGGATGAACAGACATGAGCCCAAAAGAGGGAGTAGTGCTTACAAAACTTCAGAAAGATGCTAAGACTACAGAATAGGGTTAAGTCTAATATTTCTTAACACTTTATACCTCTGTAGCTGTTCTGTAAGTAAAGGGAAGAAAATATTTTACAGTCTGTTAATTCTCCTCACAGTAGAAACATACTTTGTTTTAGTATTTGTGGTGTTTTTTTTAAATGTTGAGCTTTCTTCAGATTGATTAATTCTGATAAATATTCTGATGGCCTGTGGTTACAACTCCCGTCCTAACTATTAAATGTACTGAGACATCAAGTACATAGATGAGAAGGGAGGAATCTTCAGAGAAAGACATTTCAGTGGTCATGAAATAAAACAGCACAGAATGTACTTGGGAGAAGAATAGGATGCCAGGAAATATATGGTACTTGGTTTTCAGGATGGTTTGCTGTCTTGTCACAAATTTCTTTTTCCTTATGTAAACCTTGTATTGCTTGGAGGGGAGAAAAATTCTACAGTTCTTTCTCAGAAAGGAAGAGTTTTTAATTTATCTTCCCCTGAATGTTACTTTATTGATCTTACCTTACTTAGATTACTATCTGTTAAACAGATTTGATAAACCTAAAGAAAAAGGAGCTCATAGTTTTGCTGTATTAGTAACAAAAAAGGGAAAAGATTCAAATACATACTTTTGCAGAACTGCAAATATTTAGATACACCATAATAGAAGCCCACAATGTCTCAATTAACTCTTAATTGTTAAATACAGCTCTTTTTTTAAAGAAAAAAGATGTACCTCTTAGCATTCAAATTAATCTTCTGGTTGATAGTGATATACATTCACCTTTAATTTTCAAGTGGTAATGAGGTAAATATTTTGGGGTTTTTTTCATACTTGTTTAGGTGCAGGTGTTTGGATTGTATTCAGCGGAAGAGTTCCATGAAACGTTTGACTGTCCTATTAAAGTAAGTGCTTGTTTTAATCTTTAGTAATTCTGTTGTTGTCATCTTTAATAACAGAAAGGTCACATTGAATCTAAATGAAAGAGGGGAATACTGCTTCCTTGTAATGTTATTCAAGTCACTACAAAATAGTTATCTATCTCAATATAAAAGCTTTTGATCTGGTTAGGCAGCAAGAAAGCCGATCTTGGTTTTGTAAGAAGTATTATTGAGTTTTTCAAACAGAAAAGGCAAAGTGAAAGAGAACTTGTCCTGTTTCAGCTGTTGCCTGTCTCAACATATTTCTTTATAGGTCCATGATATAAATTATGAGGGTTCTGCTAACTGTGAGGTCAATATTTTGCAACCAATTCATATCTGATAAACCTACCTCATGATAAAGCAATGGGTGGGGATGCTGATGTAACCTATCTGAAGAAAAATTTTCAGTTACACTCTGTTTGAGAGGCATGTAGGTGCCTGGCTATTGAAAAAGCATCTCTAGGAGGTGTATGGGAAGCTCTGGCTTTTTTTTAACGAGAAACATTTATTGCAGGAGGAAAGGTGGTGATTGCATTTTGCTGCTTGGGGTCTTCCATGTTGCAGCTGCTCTTGGGGAGCAGGGAAAGGAATGAAGTCATTATGTTTTCACATGCATCAGATGTGACTTACTGGCCTCCTAGGGCCTTACCTCTCTTACAGGTGAATCTCTCATACTTGACAGGTCACACACAAGGCAAAGAGGCCGTTTAAGGTGCACTGATGATACACAAGGTATCTGCACCAGGGCTGAGCTGTATGTGCCCTCTTGGCAGGCCCCAAACAAGGCTTGCTTGGGTTAACCCTTGCTTGTGGCAGTCCTGTGATGCGCACTTCTAATTCTGCGGCCTGCTGTGCAAAAAAAGTAGTTTTGTGGTGTAACGTGGCCCTCAGTGTCAGGTGTGTGACTTGTCCCATGCCATATAATATGGATAATTTTCTTCTCTATGAAAAACAGAGATGTCTGGATCAATTGGATTTACTTCAGAGAAAGAACTCAACTGTAATAGCTGATAGTTGTCAAAGTTTTAAAAGGTTATGTGGGGTTCCCTGTAAAGTCTTATTCAAGCTAAAATACTGTCTTTTTTTTTTTTCTTCTCCCACCCTCTGCACCCTGCAGATTGTTGCTGTTCATCCTCATTTCATAAGATCCCACTACAAGCAATTTGTAACAGGTGGGAAAAAGGTAAGCAGTCATAGTGTAATGAACTTATGCTACCTTCAAATAGCTTTTTAAAATACCTCAGACCACCTTTTTAACAACTAGAGCAAAGAATTCTGCTTTTCCCTTCTCTTTATGCATTGTATTAAAAAAAATTCTTAAGACTAATTGTGGGGGGGTGAAGTCCCCTTTATGTGTTAAAAACATGTTGCAACAAGTTGAGCTTCAAATTAGAAATGTTTCTGTCTACGTAGTCTAAAAAATGTCATTTGCATGTCCTAAACCAGATTTTATCCATTAATTTTAATTTGTTGAAGTGAGACTAGAAGTTAGACCTTAATACTGAACTATTACGTTGCATGTTGGTCTTGTTGTTTAGGATTTTTCTTTTGCTTTTGTGTTGTTTTTTTGTTAGTTTGTTTTGCTTTTCAAGTAAACAAACCCAAGTATCTTCATCAGTCCTTGTTCATGGTGTGGGGTTTTCTGTTTGTACATTTTTAAACTGATTCAGGGCAGCTGTTGGTAGAGTAGAGCTCCTACTTTTTAAAGTACTTGTATCTGTGTAGTTAAAAACTTCTACTTCGGGCAGTTGTTACTTTAAATGTGCTTTACGTGTCTTATTGGTGTAGGGCGCAATTCTGACTTCTAGGTTACAGTTGTTTTCAGGTCCTGCAAGTATCTTGTATCACACTGTATATTTTCAGTCAAGATAAGAAAAGTTTGATTTGGAACAGTTTCTTGAATTCATGGACTTTCTCTTTTGCCTTCTCTTATGAATTAAGGATGAACAATCCCACTTACAGATGCATCAAACTGAATGCCATGGCTCTCCCTTACCAGCATGTGAGAAATATAGACTTCTAGTGCAGAACACAACTTAATTTTCATTAACTGTTCAATATGTTTCAAAGCAAAGCTGGGTTTCATTTTGCTTTAAGTGGCATGTATGCTTGACAGCTTTTGCTGGCTAGTCAGAGCTGGTGTTGTCCTTAAAATAATGCACAGTCAGTGTATGTCTTTGTCAGCCACCAGTTTGTGAAGCTTTTTAGTGCTGATAAAAGTGGTATAGAAAGAGAAGCAGGGAATTAATAGAACAGGGCTCCGTCAGGTGGTAAAAGAACTTGCATTCACCTGATGCCAAACAGAAAAAAAAACATCAGGGAGTTAACACATTCTCTTTGGTTATCTTTGATTACTTGACAGGTTGTTTTATAGTCTGGTCTCTGGGGAATGGTATACTCATTCTTAATGCATTCGGGTTTTTTCTGAGGAACTTGGAACTCTCCTCTTCAGGAAAACTTTAATTGACATCTTAACATAAGCTATTTAGCATTGAAATAAATGTCCCTCGACAACTGTAATTTGATTTTATTGATACATTAAACCAACAAATAAAACCTGTTAGCCTTGTGGTAGAAACCCTTCCCATTTTTCTCCTCTCTTTGAAAAGTAACATATGTGCTTGTGTAACAGCAACAACAAAATGCTCTGTGAAAATTCAGAAAGTTAAATTCCACATACTTACTCACTGAAGGTATTTTTTTCTTTTCTGAGAAGAAAAAGACCTTGAAAATACATGCACACAGGAAGTAAGTACTTGCCCTCCTGTCCTTTAACACCCTGTTTTATCTCATCTCAAAAAAACCACTTTTAATATCTGCTTCTATTTATTTATTTATTTATTTTATAACCAAGCATCTGCCTTATTAGAATGTTTAAGGAATGGTGTGAGGGGATAATTATCATCTCCTTCATTTTTGGAAAAATACGCAGTTCTTGTTAACAATATAAAATTTATGAAATATGCACTTTACAGTTCAAAGACCCACTGCAGAGCATCTGGAAATGTTGAACGTGGGCAACAGTCTCTTAAAACGAAGTAGAGAGATAGAGGGGAAAAAAACCTAAGTGGTGTGTTTCAGGTATGCATGGTGCAGACCCTGAGTTTCCAACACAGTTATGTGCTTGAAACTTGTGTGAATTGTGTGATGCTGAGATTTGCCATGTCTTAGAAGCTGAGCCTGACCTAAAGCTGACTTGTGCTACCTGGAGTAGCTGTTTAAGTTGTTGCAGATTTTTGGAATCTTAACTCTACCCTTCATATGTTTATACAATTGCTTAACTAGGCATGTATTTGAGTCCTTTAAGAGCAGTTTTTCTCTAAATGGTATTATGAGCTAATTAAACACTTAAAAATTGTTTGCTTACTTAAGCACTAGTTTTTAAAAGTAAGAAACTTTCATTAATCTTGGGATAATATAATTACCTTCTATGTGCGCTGGAATGGCTTTTTTTCACCCATTAAAAAAAAAAAGAAGGAATACAACCTGTGCCTAGAAAAAGGAAAGGTATTGTAGAAACATTTACACAATCACAGAGAGAATCAATAGGTACCATACTAAATAGAGGCACTTCCCTGCTCCTCTCCCCTTTATCTCTGCAATTAACTACAGCACCATTGCGATGACTTGGCAGATGATGGTAACCCTGAAATAATAACAGTGTATATTGTAAATAACAGGGCATTCCTTTCCAGAGCAGAGAGTAGACCTTCAAAGCAAGGGAAAAGACAAATACCGTGCTATTGAAGGCCATAACCCTCTACTGTTTAAAAAAGGGTCTAATCTTAAAAAATAACAGGGTAAAAGCCAACTAAATGAGGGTGGTAAAGCTGAAAACAAGGTGTTCTTTGTTTAACCATTAGAGTGCTGGTCTTTCTCAACACGTCAACTAAATGAACGTTATTGCGAAGTCCAAGAATCCATTATATCCAGAGGGTTAAAGAGGCACAACTAACAAAGGGAGAAGACTGAAGGTGTTTTCAGTTCCTAAGTCAAGGTATCAGCTGCTGCATGTTGTGTAAAGATAAGGAGAGCAGGACAACTTGAGGTTTCTTTCTTGGCAGAGGCACTCATGAGACTCCCTATTTCATGTTTTGATTAACATCAATAACCAGACACAAAGGTTTTTGTAGTAGAATTCCTGAGAGAGTGAATCCTCTGGAGTGTTTGAGTCACTCTGCTGTATGTGTAGTAATTAAGGTATTTGGGGCACTTCTCTACCTAGCATGGTAGTAGAAAGCCTGCACAATTAAGCAAATTAATTCCGAAGCCAGCACAGGAATAGGATATTCAGTATCTAAAATTACTCGGCCTCCTCATTTGCCTAGGACATACATTTTGTATAATAAGTGATGATTTGAGTGTCCCATCTGAAACATTTCAAGGGCCAGGGAAACAACATAAAACGGAAAATTTACCTTGTGATTGTCAGCAATCATATCTTTATAGCTGTGTCTATATCTACATAATATATTTCAATTTCATATATATTTATATAGTGGAAATGGATTTAAAAAAATTTTAATTAGGTTTGTATTTCTTTTGCTTGGAGAAGGTAGACTATAAAAACTGGTTTTCAAATGCATCTGTGTCTGAATATATTTGTCCTCCTAGAATTGGCATCTATGCCTATGCTTAAGCATTAAACTTTTTTGTCTCATGTAAAAGCAGAGAGAACTTAACGTTATCAGGGAAAAATGTCTTGCTGTAAAAAAACAAACAAAAAAACCCCAACAAACAAAAAAAAACCAACACAAAAAACCAACAACAAAAATTAAACAAATAAAAAACCCACATGAAATCCTATTTCAATCTTGGAATCCTGGGTTGGACCCACCGTGTTTCCTGCCTGAGATGAGAAACAAGATGGTCTAAAGCCCTTTCCACTTCCAGGTGGGGAGCATCATCATATACAAAGAAGGATAGTGGTTGTGAACAGTGCACAGAGCAGGAAAAGAAATAGCATTGTTGGGGATCTGCAACTGCTGTTATGGGTAATGAAATCTGTATGTTAAAGTCAAGTCTGCTAGGGAATGTCTCAGATACTTTTTTTTTTTAATTGTCTGCTTTTTAGTGTCAGCAGATGCACTTTGCTTTGTGAGTAAGTAGATGACCTTTACCTCTGAACCCTATGATATGTACTTCATAATAACTGGTTGGACTACTTTGACAAATTATTAAATTGTCAGGATGCTGTTTGCAGCATAGTCCATTTTTAGAAAGCAGATAGTCAGCTGTTTGGCATTATGTTGGGTAGAAGAGTACCAGACAAGAAAGGCAAATTGCTTTGTAAGCTATAAAATGTCAGTCAGAATACTCAAAGGTCTGGTTTAAGTGAAGAAGGAGTAAATAGTATGGCAATTTCTGTCTATGCATTGGATAATTTACCATAAGCAGAAAACAAAGTGTAGCAGCAAGGAAGCCACAATAACACATCTGCCATTTGCTTGCTACGATGTATAATGCCCGGATGTATCCCCTATTGTTGAGCCTATGAGCCTTTGGTGTGTAGTGATGTGCTGTTTGCTTAGTAAGGAGATTATTTTGCTTACATTTCTTACTATTATTTGGGTGTGCATTTCTTCTTTATCATGAAAAAGCATTCTCCCTGTGCTGTAACAAATTTGATTTGTGTATAGAGAGAATGGATCATAGTCCTGTGTATGTGTGATCTGTAGTTCTGTGTATTTTGAAAATGTCTGAGTGGAAGACTTTCCATTGCCTGAGGTGGCAAACAAAGATGATGTAAATATATTAAATGTATAAAAGTTTGTGTCTCTGCCTGTAAGGCTGCAGGACTTGCTTTCCACAGTGTTAATTCTGTAGCTATTTATGAATAGGTGACAGCTGGAATCTAGCAGTTGACTTATTAAAAGTACTGCCTAATAAAAGTTCTATGGCATTTGTTGGTATTAAACTTCTCCAGATTTCTAGTTGGGCTGTCCATTAACTGCAGCAGCAGCTCCCAATGCTGTTTTTTCCTGCCACTGCCTCCTTGCATGCTTTTCCTTGACTGCACCTCCTACCCTCCCCTCTATCCCACACCACAGCTGCTTAGACAAAAGCATTTTGAGACAATATTTTAAAAACTCATCTTCATTTGAAAACTTGAGGCTTACATTATGCTCTGATTTGTTTGAGCTCATCCAGTCCATCGCTGTTACAAAGAGAAGTGATAATTTTTTATTGTTGCTATGTATTTTCCTAGGGATGCAGGATTAAACAGTAAGTCTTCATGTGGCATGCTGTTCTGTGTTACTCTTGGGTATCTATTAATCTTGGCTGTGCCTGTAAATGTTAGTTTTATGCTGAAAACAATAAATATCTATAGTGATTACTTGTAACCATGGCAGTAGCATTTTAGGTTTTGCGATCTTGCGTGGCTGAGGGGAGAGCTGGTGACACAGGTGCCAAAAACAGAACAAGTTTCACAAGTAGGCCCATCTTCACGCTCAGGCAAACAAAGAGCAGGAGAAGGAAAATACTGGAGTTTTTTCCAAATTTTTATTTTGTGAAATAAAAAGTAATCTAAAAGTGCTGCAATAGAGGAAGAAAGGATGGCTCTTCAGTTTTAAATTTAAGTCTCAGCCTTTTTCTTCTGTAAAACTCCTCCAGATCTTTTCAGAGAAGGTGCTATGTTGAAGCAAAATGAAGATGCTGTGCATAGTGCTTCAGTAAAAGTGTGTTTCCTTTGAAACTTTTCACTGTGAGAAAAGACAGCTTTTATTTCAGTGTTTTGAAGGTGGTATTTGCTACTGGGATAAAATTGAATTGAATTACTTCACCATATTGATACTACCAAAGCTGCAATTATTGGCCTCTTTGTTCAGAGGATTGAAAATTCCTGTACTTAGTTAAAAGACTGGGATTTGGTGTAATTAGTGTTAATGCTAATTGCATGACAGGCTCCATTAAATCCAAGCCCTACTAGTCTCTTCAGCTGATACATTCTGAAATAGAGTTTTGAGTTATTTTTTGGAGGAGGTTAATCTCCTGTTAGAGAAAGATACAGAGATGTATTCATTAATCCAGGAGAATTAAATCCACTTGTTTTTAGAATCACAGTGTATCCTGTGGTGTCCTCTTGCATCATGTATTTCAGTGTGTCTGTTTTCTTAATGAGCCATTGGACAGGCATAAGCAGTTGAGAGGAGTCACAAAATAGTAAGCGGTGAACTACCTGAGGATTGCAATGTACTATGAAGGAGTGTTGGTGGGGATCCTAGATGTCAAAGTTTATTTTGTTTTAATTTAGGTGTATTATCATGTTGCGGTGCATGAAAGACATGCTGGAAATGTGTTCTATGCACTACTGTATTGTAACAAAGGACTAGAAGGATTTACCAGAGCAAATACAAAAAAGGGGAAATACAAACTGCATTGCAGAGAATGCAAGAAAGTGATTTTTGTGGCTGCTGTTGAAATATAAGCACTGTGAATGCTGACTGCCAAAATATGGGATTTATGGGAAATAAAGCCCTAAAATATTCTTCCTCTACCAAAAAGAGAGGGAGGGGGCAGGAGGAAACCCTCCAGAAACAATGGATTTTTGTTATGTGCCTAGCTTCTCTTGAAGTTTTAAATGGCCTTCTGGTGCGATAAACATTTCAAAATGAAGACAGAAAGGAAGACTAAGAAATAAATTAGGCTGCTTGTTTAGAGAGACACATTCGGTGAATAGCAGTTCCAAAACAGGTAACAAAGTTCTGGGTCAGTAACTCAGTTTCCAGGTGTTGTGGCTAGAAGAAGTAATAAACAAATCACTTTATGTATATTGATAAAATGCCAATGATTGCATTGCAAATAAATTAGTGTGTTTGTTGTTGGCGTCAGTGATGGACCTATTGCACTTGCTAGTATGACATGGGGAATTCTGGGTGCGGCAGTGATTCAGATTCACTTTCCATCTTTATTACAGGCAACACTGTTGTCTTCTGCCTTGCTCAGAGAATTTAATTAAGCATGTGCTTAGAATTGAGCACAAACTGAAGCAGAATTCTATTTATTTTTTTCTTACTGGTTGCTTTTCAGGTTATTTTCTTGTTATTTTCTATTCGGGTAGAGAATCATGAAAAAGTATGATGTTCACAAAGCATGAACAGTAACAAAATAGCTATAAAGTGTCATCTAATGCTTACTCTGGATCTTTCATGTAATAAATAAAGTTAAATCATTATTTAGTCACAAGCAGAAAAGATTCAAAGTTAATATAATTGAATTTAGCCACTTTTATCCTTTTACAATGTCCATGTCAGTTTCTCAGCCTTGTCCAGTGAGTCCTGATGAAAATACTAGGTATTTTCCTGTGGTCTTTATTGGACAGTATTGAAAGAAGCCTCTGGTTGGGAGTTTGTGAACTAGGAAAAAAACTAATTTTTAAGTCTGAATCAACATAGCACTTAGTTTTTAATGACATTCTCAGCTTCTGAGTGATACTAACAAGTTTGGGCTGAGGGTTTCTCCTGTGTTTCATGTCCACCTATCAGCCTGCCAATGGAAATTTCTCTGCATGTCACTGCCTTGCAAGTATAGATGTTACCTGCTTTCAGTGTTGTCTTGCCTTAGCTGCTATAAAATAGTGCATAGATTTGTTGAGTAGCCTTTACATATGTGGAAAAAACCCCATAATCTGTCTAAAAGGTGAACCTTCATGTGAGCTTTTTGAAGGATGCAGAGTAATTTTGACTGGGGTTAAAATGTGAAGGTATGCTTGAGTGAGGAGTTTGATATCTGTAGTGCACTTCAAGCAAAAGTTTCTGATAAGCCATGCTTGATAGCGACCGCGTTAAACTCTGGGAGAATATACTTGTCTTTTGCTGCCACCTTGTGGCTTTGGGAGAGAGGGGCATCTTGTGTAGTTGAAAAACTCCTTTGCTAAAAGATGTTATTTTAAACAGTCAGTGTCTTATAATTTTATGTATTCATGCAACTATGTATAAAAAAAGCATGAAAAGCTGGATCTTAGGAAATATTAGCGACAAAAGTACTCGGCTTAGGTTTTAGCATGGTAAAAGCCCTTGTAGGTGGCAATTTTACGTCTCCTAGTGATCACTGCACTCAAGTGAGCTCAGGTTTGGCTTGTGTATGTGTCTCTGTGTTAGTATTCTCATGAAAAAGTTGACAGGCCTGATACCTTGGAGTATGATCTTCATAGATGCTTCAGCTTCCCTCCAAGTGCTACACTTTGCATCACTCGAAGCGAATGGCACCAGCAGAAATTTTTCACTAAGACAACAGTCGAACATTCCCCAACACTGGACACTTTTAAGACTCAGCTTGACATGGTGCTGGGCCATGTATCCAGTGTTTTTACCAAAAGAGGCTGGACCAGTTTATCTTTGAGGTCCCTTCCAACCTGGCATTCCTTCATTCTAAGAAGTGGTTCCATGGTATAATCCTATTAAGGAACTTCCTAAAACCATACAGAAACCTGTAGAAAAAGCTGGACTGTAACACAAACTATCTGCCTGGATCTGGGTTTTTCTTGGCTGCTGCAAAGCATTTTGTAACATCTCCTATGCATCTAGATATTCAAAAAAAACCTTTCCTATTTGCAGAACCATAGATTCTCAAACACAGAAGTTTCAGAATCAGCAGTGCTTGTGATACAGTGCAGTCTGCTTGTGTAGAACTGGACACACAGCATCTCTAAGAGCCCTGTACAAGGTCACGTAGTTCCACCTGGGGCCAAACAAAAGGCCAGAAACTTGGGGGTTTTCGAGAATTTTCCTTGACTACACCAACCCCACGGAATGCTTTTCCTGTCATCTGGTTTTAGGAGGGAAGAAGGAGCCTATTAGCAGATCAGTGAATAGGTGTGAAGTGGCCCGGTTTCTTTAATCAGCTTTCTGAAGTGTTGTCAATAGTGCTGAAGGCTTATGTTCTCAAATGCTTTAATTTCTTTATTCTTAACATGGAAATAATACTTACAAGTTCTCTGGAGAAACTTGATTGAAGGCCTGCTTATTAATACTTTTATTAAAGTAACTTGAATTCTACAGTATATAGGATTCCCAATGTATTTGTACTATGTGAAAATATTTTACAATATTTGCTTTTTGTTTTAGGATTGGTTTTTTTTGTTGCGCTTGAATCCAAGTAGGTTAAGTGATAATGAAACAAAAAAAGACCTCACATGTTTTCATGCAACACTGTGTCACAGAAATATTACTTGTTGCACTTCTTCATAGTTGCTGTTATTCGAGAGGGGCTGGATGAACAGATGGAAGCCTTCAGTTTTACATGAAGGGGAAGGAAATATAAGAAATGTAAAATGGAGAGGACACTTAATTGCTTGGGCTAATAATATGGTAAGTAATGTCACCTCTGTTAAATAAGCAAAAATACCGCTGCATTATACTGATATTTGAAATGTTTTGTTGTTAATTGCCAAAATATTACATTGAAAAATGGTGCATTTAAAGAATCAAATATAAAAGGCATTGAAGGATGGTGTTCTGGATCCCATTTCTTCATAGACTTTCCTTTTGGCGTTTCCTGCTGCAGTGTTCTCCATATGACTTCTATTTCTGAAGAAATTAAGAGAAGTACCTCTACATAATCATTGTTGTGGATGATCACTATGGTGCATTATTGTATAGCAGAGTTTTGACTAGTGCAATTTATTGAAGCAAACTGAGGAAGGAATGCCAATGTAACTCTTCTTTATATAAAAATAGAGCATCACCACCTCCCAAACCCCATTCCCACCCCACCTTAAAAACCTGTCTGTGTTTTGTATTTTGTACTGAAGTGGCATTCTCATATGCACTTCTAATGCTGCAGATTATAGAAATGACAGTAATAATTTCCTATTTTGGTAGGCCACTAGAAAAGTCTAGATTTAGGAGAAAATAGGCCCTTTTTGCTCTAAGTGTAATTCATATTTTAAAGGGGACCATTGCTTTCATGCTGAGTGTTGCATTTCACCTATCACTGTATATCTAATTGATAGGTCAAGGTCTGTGTTTTAAAGCTCAGCAGTGAAGGATATGTTTTGAAGTATGTATCACATCTAAATTCCAAAGCCTTATTTTAAAATGTGGTGAAAGTACTTCCAAAACACTAGCTTTTATCCTTCTGTTGTTTTTCCCTCCTGAAAGGAAGCATGTAATAAAATATTTTAAATCTGTTGTTCCTTTATACCTTTCAAAACCATTTTAATATGAAATTGTTAGAGGTGGACTTTGTTTATTTGTTTGCCTTTAATGACTTCATTAGAATTGAAAGTACAATGAGTGCTTGGTCGTCTTAACAACAGCTCTTTTTAATGGTTTTGTTCTCTTCAGAGCCTTACAATTAAAATATATATTCTAGGTGAATCTGCTGGGAATAGATAGGACAGTTGAGGAGAGCTATCCCTAGAGATGATGTGCCACATCAGAACACAGAATAGTAATAAAATGTTGAGAGCCATCTGTCAGAGACAAAAAGCCACGGTCAGGCCTATCTTTAAATGAAAAATGAAATGACACTTGCCCTCCAAAAGATTAATATATTTGGTTATTGGCCTTTCCCTTCCCCCTTTACCTTTTTAAAAAATTCTCTAGCAAGGCTTTGTGTTTTTTTTTTCTCTTTCTCGTAGAAGTTAGAGAAAATCTTGTATAGCCTTACTTCTTACTGTCTGTGTGTGGCTACTTAGATTTTATTTTCTTGCACCTTGTTTGGTTTGGATTTTTTTGGCACTATATATGTGAGCTTGTTTGACAGTGAATATTCTGAGATGGGGTTCCAGGTTATTTAGGCAAGGTCTGATTCTGCTTGTCAGATGCTCAGGTAGCTCCTGTTTGGAGCTGTGCTCTCTTCTCCTTCCTCTATGGCCATTTACAAACTGAGGCACCCATGGACCAAATCCTTAGAGGCATAAGGCTGCCTAGCTCCCCTCTGAACAGGTTTTAGGCTCCTTCATGATAGGAAGTTGACTCTGGAAGTCTTTTAACTGTAGAGGATCCTCTGCTCTTGGTTTGAAAGGCACTTGAAATGTAAGCTAGTCTATTCCATATAGGATTTGCTACCTTGTAAGAAAACAGGTGTGATATGGGTCGCTTTTATTTGAAAATCATCCTTGAAGACAAAGTGATAAGATTACTAAAAGACAACTTTATTAAAATGCAGTTCAAGCAAGATTGCAAATTTTGTGAGATGAGCTTAGAAAACACAAAGCGTAAGTACCTTGTTCATGTTACTCAGAGATCTGGGCTCTGTACATTGCAGATGCTCTGTGATAAGTTGTTTTCTGAAGCCTTGATGGCTGTTAACCTAAGAGATGCCAACAGGAGTGTGTTCCATGATCTCCCAGTTCTTCAGTTACAAAGATCACTGAAAAATAAACCCAACCCACCCCCATACCACTTAGTCCACACTCCTTGTGATTTAAAAAAAACCCAAACAACAGAAAATAAAGCACTAAAAAAAACCCCAAACCAAACAAAACCAAACAAACAAAAACCAAGCCAACCAACCAAACAAAAAACAAGCCTCCAAAAAATGGCTTAGACCACAACCCCCATGTTTAGACTCTTTGATGTATAAACAGTTGAATCTGGGGATTCCCCAGTTGAAGCTGGGGATATAGAAACCCACAGTGGGAGGGAACAGAAACAGCAGAGTAAACTTTTACATTGGTTTTGTCTCTTAGAAATATCCTAACATGGAATGGCATCCTGGATGCTGACCTTTCAAGGTCCCTTCTGTCCCCTTTTCTGTAATAATGAGAATTGTTTTTTTCTGCTCACTGAGCTTAAATGAAATATCTACTAAAATGCTTTTTTTTTTGGTTTAGGAACTAGTTTTTAAATCACTAAGTACAGGTCATTACTTAGCATGAAATTAATCTCCATTTTGCTATTGGAAAGGTTATAACTCACCTTTTCTAAATGACATAGCAAAAATCTGATGAATGGAACTTTTTTTTCCTCTCGCTCTCTTTCAAATGATTTTAATCTTCCCTTCTTTAAACTTTTTGTTCTTTAAGTTTAGGAAATTTCCTGAGGAGCCAGTGAAAAAATCTAAGGAGAATTTAAATATGCTTGCTTTTCTGTTTTGATATAATAGTGGAAATGCTTTTTTTTAGCAGTTCAGATTGCACTCATTCACATTAATGAGCTGTTGCTCACATCTTTCCTTTTTTCAAGGTGGAAATTTCTGCTTCTCTGCATGGGTTGTTGTGGAAGAGCTGGGATTTCTTAATTTCTCCAGTAATAGAATCAGCCTTCATCACTCCTTCATCACTGGATTTGCTAATCTGTCACTGATTCGCTTCTCGTATCTTTTCATTTGGCATGTGAATTAAAAATTTCTAACTTCATTCCTTTTGTCACCTCCTGAATTAGATAGGTCTTTGTATCAACAGCTTTTTCTGTTGGTATGCTCAGCCTTAACCTGCAACTTAGGCCATAAGCTGCTATGATTGCCTTAGCATACAAAATAATATGGGAAGTGGTGAATAGGAGTTTGTCATACTGAATAAAGTTCTCTTGTATTAAAACTTTCAGGGCGTGAAGATACTTGACATGATCTCCAAGCAAAGAATTACCAATGTGCCTCGAGATGACATAAGCCTTCGCCCAGATATGTATCCCTGCAGCCTTTGCTGGAAGGATAATTTAACGCTGATTATTGGCTGGGGAAATTCAGTAAAGGTGCAGTTACCTGTCGTTGTAATAAATGCTTGCTGTTATCACAGACAAATGGAGGATTATTTCTGAAAAGCAAAGACAATCGAAAAAAATAGAATTTGGTTTGACTACAGTGTGCAGAACTCCTGCTGCCATAGAAATGTCATTGTACTGACCCTCATGAGGAGGAGGAGGAGTGACAGACACCCAGCGGTCAGGCAGATCTCTGTGTGTGAGCATGCAGCGAATGTAATCCTCAGGGACACTTCTCTGTGCCTTGGAGAGATTTCCTCTTTAGAAAGCTTTTAGTGGGCTGTTGAGTTCATTTCTTTTGATTAGCATTAAGGAAGAGCAACTCATCATGCGTTATTTTGGGGGAGGACTGTTTTGGGGGCTGAGGAGGCTGTGACTGCTAAAACAGCCACATGATTTCGGTCAACCATAATAAAAAATGAGGCGGGCTGGGGGGACAGGCTGGTTAGGGTTTTGTTCTGCTTTCAGCAGGGAATTGGCATTTCAAACTTGTGCACTGCAGACTGGCTATGATTTGCTCAGACCAACACCTGACATGAGTTTGTTACAAGCCTGTTAGCTGTTTTCTAATAACAGACTGCTACATCACTGCACAGTCGGAAATTAAAAGTGCTTTGTAGGAGTAGATGGAAAGGGAGGGTAAAATGAGGTACGTGAAGCGTAAAAAGCTTTTGGAGCATTAAACTTGGAGTTTTACAAATGAAGAGGCTTGTCATAAGTTTGGCATCTGTCTTCCCTCTTTTGTTGTGCGTGCTTCACCACATTTGGGTGTTTGCATTTCATTGTGTGCTCTCCTCCTGTTATTGGAAGTTACAGTAGCGTGATGCAAAGTGTGAGAAGATACCAAAACTAAACTCACATATATGCTACTTTGAAGAAATCATAGTGGGCAGAGGTTATTAGATTTCTCTCATGTGTCCATCTTCCCCTCTCCTCTCCCAGTGTATTTATAAGGTTGTGGTCTACAGCTACAGCCCTTCTTTCTGGTTTCCTTCTTTAGTGATGCATCATCGCTGTTTTACAGCCAGTGTTTTTCAAAATACAGAAATGCATGTCCAAGAATGCCTCAGTAAGAAAAGGAGTTTCTGGAAAGAGTTAGTACAATTTCTGGAATTACAGGTTGTTCACCATAATGATCCCCATCTCTGTTTCCTAGATTTGCTCAGTAAAAGAACGGCATGCCAGTGAAATGCGTGACCTTCCAAACCGCTATGTGGAAATAGGTATGATTGTACAAATGCACTTTTTGAAAACTATGTAAGCATTAAAGGTCTTTTTTTGCATTCTAGCCTGGAAAAGCTGTTACAATTCAGAGGCAATATATAGTAGTAACGTGAGTGTCTTCTCATTTGCAGTTAGTGATGTTGTCATAATATTCACCTGCACAGTTTGTTTTAGGTATTTTGTGTTTGTAGAGAATCTTAAATTCTGTGATCTTTGTGTGAACAGTGGATGCCTTAACTTTCCCTTCATGCAGATCCCTACAGAGAACTTGGTTTTTCATCTTGGTTAAATGATGAGCAGTGTAGTAGTAAAGGAAAAAGATGTGCTACTTTATTTGGTTGTGTTGTTTGACTACACTGCTCATAACTGTTCTGTTGGGTTTTTTTAAACATCTCTTTGGTGTAGAGCTAGAAAACATATCTGAATTTTTGTTGCCTTTTTTGCTTCTGTATTTGATGTTCTCCTTGGCTTACTAATTTGTCTAGTTTAGGTGACATGAATAAATTTCATTATTGCTGATCAGTGGAAAAGGTCTTGACAAAATATGCATTAAGTAAAGCTAAAAGTGGAATTCAAAGGGAATTTGGAGGGAAAGAGAGCATATAAAAGAAAGGTCACAACTGTCTCTAGAAGCTTCTTCTGGAGAAAGAAAATATCTGCAAAGAGGTAGTGCTGGGAAGATAAACAGACCTACTGGCACTCTGCAGACTTAAGTGGACAACAGTTTGCAAACGTTGGTGCTTCCTTCTCTTGACTGTAATGACATGAGATTGTAGACAAGAGTGTTCAGGCAAGATCCTGCCTCATGTCAGATTAAAATGGTTCATGGCATAGGTGTATACTTTGCTTTCTAATTTCAGGAAATAATTGTTTTAAAATAACTCCAGAAAATAACTAGGAGACTTGTTAAATTCTGTAGGAACTCTGGATACTTAAGAGACAGTGGCATGCCTGACAGTTAACTGAGACCTGGAAGCAATTTGTTGTTTAAAGTTACGTGGCCCCAGCAGAATAACTAACTCTTGAATTTTAGGATATTGAGTGAGTTTAGTGAAGGAGAAATTCTCAGTTTTAGCCTTAGACCTTTTAAATAATATTTTCTATGTCTGTAAGTAGCTTTTAGAAAAGAATTAAATGAGGTTATTTACATGGGGACAAGTAAATAGAGGAACTTCTACTTCAGCTATAATGTGTCTACATGGAGGGAGTTAGTCTTACGTGACTCTCTACCGGAACTTCATTTTTAAAAAATAAAAATAAGAAGCTGTCATTGGGCTATTTAGGTGCAGATCTGAAGGTTAGGGATTTTTGTGGAAGTAACTTTTTCATCTCACAATTTTTAGCCTAAAATCTCTGTTTTTGAGGACTGGCATTTTATCTCGCTTAACCTGCTAATGACGTGCTTGGAATTTTTCTTTCTGGTTTCAGGTCGAAGCACTGAAACAGCTCTGCCAAATACTGTCAGCAGTGCTCATTGAAACATGATTTTAGGTTGGGAGGGAAAAGAGAGAGGCATTATTTGTACATCTTAATATAAGTTACAATAGCTTTTGACATAGTCACATAGAAGGTCTTCTTGAGAGCTGTGTGTTATGTCATAGTATCTATTTAAATTTTATTTCAACTTTTCTTTTCAAAGGCTTAGCTGGAAGGACTGATATTAATGGGCAGACCAGCAACCAGTGTAGTTTTTTGCAAGGTCATTAGTATCCTAAGTGGATGTATAAGCTCATACACTTTAAGAGTATAAAAAATTTATTCAAGGAAAGAATATCCTTCAGTGTCTGGGTAGCTGAATATCTTTCAGAAGTTTTGACTCAAAACATCTTGGCAATGTACTTATGAAAAATGAAACCTTTAACACAGTCTAACTTCATTCATGTCTAGTGGTGCAGGGTTTTTTGGTTTATTCTACCTGCTTTTACCATTTTGTACATGGAATGAAAAGTAGAAGTGGAGAGGGAGACTTCACAGTCACTCCTCTGCTCATCAGGGTAATACATATGAAGTCTATGACAAAACAGTGTTTTCTTATGCCTCAGCAATTTCAGATTTATGCTCTTGTAGACTTATTCTGAGGGCCTCAGACTTCCACAATAGTATCACAGTAAACTATGATGGCATTAGTAGATCATAAATATTTCTTCAGTGGTTTGCAGCCTGGTGAATAAGGAAACAGATCATCTGCCTTGTAAGTTAGGTACATAGGATCCTGTGTAACAAGGCGCTCCTCATCTTCCAATTCTGTATTGAGATGTAGCTTTACTTAGTCTTAGGCAGGAAATAAATATGCTGTCTGCTATGATGCTAAACTAGACAGTCCATAATATGGGAAAGTAACACCACTGAACTGTTCTAGCTGTTTTATTTTAAAGAAGATGATTACCTGTAAGAGAAATTAGATTAATTATGCAGTGCTTGAGCACTGAGATGTGTGTGGCATTTTATATGCTTCTTTCAGTATATTAACGATGCTTTTCTTCAGTAATATTTTCCATTGTCTCAGGTTGCATGTTCCAGTTCATTGCTTCTGTGGGTCTTCACTCAGTGTTGAAGATAAACTCCAGTTAAATGTTTCTATTTAGGTTTAAATGTATGTTAGCTGAGCAGATCCTATCAGTTTAGCTCTGTCAGCTACCGCTGTGAAGTAGTGTATTGATTAGAAAGTATTGGTATTGAATTACAGGCTTAACATGGACTAAATGCTGTTGTGATCCTTCTTAAGGAGTGCTTGACCTTTGTGCTTGCTCCTGATGTGTGTACAAAAGCTGTAATGCTGGACAGCTTCTGGTCTGAACAGGGAACCCTTCCTCAACTGAAGCCTGTGAGAGGGCTGGTTGCTAAAGAACTAATTAGCACTTTGCAGATAATATGATGTCTTTTCAAAGTGGGACAGGGCATCTAGTATTTGATGGCTTGTCAAGTACCTTAGGATTTTATATACTTTATGGAGAAGTACTTTATCTCTGCCTCAGTTACTCAGGTTTTTAATGATAGTGGAAAATAGAGATTAACACTGGAAGTCAGTGAAAGATTTTAAGTCAATTAGAGACTTCCAAGTCAATTTACTTTAGCCCAAATTTTATGAGGATCTCAGCTTAATTCCAGGTGCTAACCAGCCAGCAATGCCTCTTGAGCACTTGTCTCCTCTCTGCATTCCCCTAAATTCCCCACAAAGTAGAATTCTGGTTTAAAGATCACAGGTTTTGTGATCAACTTGTATAACGACACAGTTACATGTTTTGTAAGGCAACAGCTTGATAACTGCACAGCAAGTTATTACCAAGCACAGAGACTGCACATTTTTATCTGAAAAGAAAACATGGAGGTATTAATTTTTTTGTTTGTGAAGTGAGATACTGATTTCAACCATACCAACATTTTTCTTTTTATATAGATGGATCTAAAAGCTTAGTTAATGAATGTGTTGAGCAGGAAATTAGCTGTAACTAAAGGTCATCAACATTATACTGCTGATTTATACCAACTTTCACTGGATCAAGTCTGCTACACTCTGAGAAGCAAATTGCCAGTCAAAACTAGAGGAATAAAACCCAACCCATTTATATGGCTGGTTCCACTTAGACTTTTGCTCATCCTGTTTTGCCACAAGCCAAATTGATAATTTATACATTTCTTGAAAAAATTAGTAGAGTATCAGACTCCTGTATATTTTTCCTTTTGGTTAACAAAGTTTTCTCAGTTAAATGTGTAATGGAAAAAATGGTTTTTCAGAAAATCAACTTTGAAGCTTTGAAACTTAAGCTCCTCGCTTTCCAGTTGTCACCAAGGATAGCACAGGATTTCCTTAAAGGTTGTATGTGTCTATAGCTAGAGAGTTGTGCAGGCACTTGCCATATTTCTAAAGATGATTTTTTCATTGCTATGGGAGATGGAATAGGGTTAAGATTATTTCAGCATCATGGTAGTGCGTCTGTTTCTCACACCCTGATTGCTGGTTAAAACAGCAAATTGTAACACTGCTTACAGTAAAGAAAAACACACCAAAAAAACCCACATTTATCTAATTTAATTGAAAGAGTAGACCTCACTAGATGAATTATTACTGGCATAATGTGGCAGAGGGCTTTTTTCTTGTTGTGTCTAATTAGTGTGATACTATAATTGAGATAAATTGTTTTCATAGCAAAATTCTTGCTCCTTTCCAGTTTATATTGGCATCAAGTAGTAAGGCAACAGCTTTCAGTGACAGAGGCTTTACAGAGTTTTGATTTTAAGAGTAGATATTCAGGGTTGGTTTTTTTTGTTCAGTGATCATATTCAATTAACAGTATAATTTTCATTGCCCTGTTTTGCTTTAATGAAAATGCTCACCCTCTTTGCCATGTGGCATTCAAAGTTAGATATGGAATGATCGATTACTGAACCTTCTTGCAAACAAAAATTAATTTTAATATGACTTTTCCAACTATTTTTTATTATGAATGACAGCTTAAGTGATACTTGTATGGGGCCTTTTCTGGTCCTTTAGTTGGAACTGAATGCACATACTGTGGAAAAAAAAATAAATTCATTTTTCTATTTTATATCAAATGCAACTGCATGGACATTGTCATAGCTGATCAAAACATGCCATGTTGCAGCCTATTTTGTTTTGTATAAATAACCTAGCTCAGTAAAATTATGGATGGTGAAGATAACATCTTGAAAAAAAGGATATGCTGTACTGTGGCCTACAGCAGGGACTGCACATTTTGCAGATGTACCTGAAGTAGCTGGTTAAAAGGTAATTTGGGAATGCCTAGTGGCATCATCCCATCAGCTAACAGTGCACCAGATTTCTTGGTGACCTGGTTTGGTTTATGGTGCTTTGTAGCTCTGCTGCTGTTGATATACAAGTGGACTACCTACTAATTAGCTGTGTATTTGCTTTTCCATTTCTTTCTTACTTCATGTGCAATTTTAAAAAACAGTAAAATATTTTTTTCCTCAACACAGTAGATTTCTCGTGTTAATTCTCCGCATGCTAGTTCAGCTTCCTACTTACTTTCCCAAAAGACAATGTTGGAACCTTGGACCCATTGAAAACATGGCAAAAACCTGACTGTAAGCAGAATTTCACTCTGTAAATATGCAGTGGAAATTCAGGGGCTGCTTTTGAGTTTTGATTACATTAAATATATTTCTTTAGTTCACTGCATGTGTGTGGATCTTTAAATTTGAGAGAAAGCTGATTTATAGAGTTTGGGTAGCATATATTTTTATTTCTGTAGTGTGGTGTATTTCATATGTTTCTTTAAATGAACAACAAAAAAGATTTACAGGTTTCTTCTTTTTGCTTCCTGGTAATTTGTTTGACAGCTGTACATAGATGCTGAACATAGAGTAAATCCACTGTCAGCATACCTTCCATCTTCTTTTATGACAGGCATAAACATGTGTGACACATGGCCTTACCTCGGTCATTCCCATTTACTGCAATACTACATTTGTTTTAATTGTTTTGAATCCTTTTCAAATTAACAGCATTTCTGCAGTGCCTCTATATTGGATTTTTTGCCCCCCTTAATCACAACAAAGTGTCCAGACAGTAAGTCAAATTAACCTATTAGTGTTCATTGCAGTTATAACTTCTATAATTTTTTTTCAGTAGGACTTTTTTTATTAGCTGTATCAAAGGTTTTTATCAGGTCAAGAAACACAGTCTCTCCCAGCTATTCTTTGTTCAAGGCTGTAGCAGCAGAGCTCGAGCATTGTGTTTCAACAAGGCCTCTTGAGGAGGATGAGCTGAGAAAGCTGAAAGTGAAACCAAGGAAACTAAACTCCATTGAAAAACAAAACTTGAAGTGATTATTTTTGTTTATTTTTGTCTCACAGAACAGCCTACTGCTTGATCCTAAATACACCTTTACGTACACATTAAATACATTTTCATTGGCAAAGGAACTAAAGTTCTGATGAAAGTCAAAGAAACATGTATGGGTTTTTTTTTAATTGTCCCCATAATCTTTATAAATGTACCACTCACCACGCTGTTTTTTCCTCTCCAAATTCAAACCACAATGTTTTATATGCCTTTGAGAGACTTCTCTTGACTTTTTAAACCTGAGATGGAAGTTTATTTGCTTACCATTCTAGCCAGCATTATGGATTTTACTTTGTTTTTTCTTTCCCTCCTGCCTTCCATATTCTTTTAAGTTGCCAAATGCTAAATTGTAAATTGGGAATAAGTTATATTATGTAGATGTTTCTGACATGGTTTGTTTAAAATCATCACTCAGAGCAGCATGTGACACAGTCGAAGTAATCTCATCAGTCTTGTAGGCTAGAACAAAATAATTATGTCCAGGATTACAAATGTCAACCTATTCTCTCCTAGAATAGATGGAGTGCTCTACCCTTGTGCTGTGCCTTGGTTCCCCAGCGATGTCAAAGTGTCAGCACTCATTAAGAGAAAAACAATATTTGCTTATTCATTGAGAGACAGGTGTCAAATCTGTACTTCACTTTAAAGGATTTTTTCTCCTTTAGCAGGCGGACGATTATTTCTCCTGTTCCTTCTTATTACCTTAGCTAAAGAAAATTATCTTTACATTTAGTGTCATTACGCTGCTTTATCTGTTTGCTTTGCTAACTAGTAAACAGTAGAAATTAAGTCATATAGCGTGCTAAGCAGCAAGCAAGGAAACTTTTTTTTCTACTTACACTTGTGTTCTCCTAAAACCATATTTTGGGAGAAAATAATTATGCATCCCATACTTTAATAAAAACTTACTTATTTTTTTTTTCTAATATTGGTACTTGGATGACACCTCTTTTGGGCCTTATGAGAGGTGAGCCCACAAAAAGGGCTTACCAGATGTTAAATGCCTGCACTCCAAATCTTTTCCCAGGGCAGAGATCTGCTTTAATGAGCCTTTTTGTAAATACAATGCTTCTCTCTTACTTTCTCAAAATAATTGTCATGTAACTGTCTCAATTTAAAACTGATTTTAGGAAATTACGGGTTTGGTTTTATAAACAAGAAAATGGACTGTTTAGCTGTATGTTTTCTTTGTAATGCAAGTATCTCAAAAACTTTCTGTTATTTTTAAAGGGATAATCAATAAGTAATGATCTTTTGTGTTTTCATGTATCATACCAGTCGGTGTAGCCTCTGTGATTTTCATGACCACATGACTTGCTGTGAATATGCAAACCAGTGGCCATGTTCCATTTATTACCTATTTTATTTGGTTTGCTTCCTTTTTTTCAGTGTGATTACTGAAAATCAGGCTGACCATTCATTTTGAATGTTTCACATCTAGCCTGTCCTGGAGCACAAACATTTCTCCTTGCAAGCTTTAATGGAATGTAATCTGTTAAATGTGATTTTTCATCTTGCTGATGCAACTGGAAAGACTGTGGGTTTGTTATGTGTATGGAGTCTCGTGTCTCCGAAGTGCTCCTGCTGGCTGTTGATGGCCACTGAAGATCAGTTCTGTGTTTTGCTTGGGGAATGGTTCATACACATTAATTTATTTAACCATCTGTTGTCTTTCCTGTTTTTCAGTTTTCCAGTTTGACACTGAATTCTATATCAGTGGGCTTGCCCCTCTCTGCGACCAGCTTGTTATACTTTCATATGTAAAGGAGATTTCTGAAAAAACGGTAATTGTTTTTATGTTGGGAGTTTCTTCACATCGCTAAACCGCTCTGTGAGTTGGGCCTGAAACTAGTCACGCAGATCAGATTATCTGTGAAAAAATTTGTATTCCCTGGTAGTGAACAGTGCTTGAATCTTCTCTCACCTATAAAAAAAGGTCAGTGGAGGTGCTGTTGAAGACTAATGTACTTACCTTGCAAAAGTCCTGTCTGGATTCCTTTATTTCTTGAAGGAGGCAGAGAAGGTCTTAATAGTCCTCTCTCCACTTTCTTTCCTTTTTTCCCCCCCCTCCCTGTTTTTATCTCCTTTTCTCTCATTCTATCTGCTATTTCTACACCAGAAGAAAAGTATAATTTTTTAGCTATAAGAGGCTTGCTGACACTCCATTAAGATGCAGAAGAAATCCAAGCAGCGAAGTTGATCAACTCAAGCAGTAAGAGTCACTGTGGTGAGGGCGAGATGCACAGTTGAGAGCAAGTGGCATCATTGTCTCCCTTCCTTCCAATACCTTTAGTTGTGTACACCCAGATGTGTGTGTAGATAGGTAGAAATTAGAATTCATGTCAGTCGTTATTATTGCATGTGGGCAAGTGCCATGTCTGTCTCCAACATTTATTTCATATTGCCAAATAAAAGGCAAGGCAGTGGAGGAAATCCTTGAAGTTGCAGAGTGAGAGTGGCAGGTGCTCTTGATCATCTCTTTGATAGTATATCTGCATTAGACAACCATCACCATAGTAACCCTAAGCAACTGGGTGCACAAGTTGCTAGGCAATGAAATGCTGTAGGTTCAAACAAATGCTCGAGCCTGCTGAAATCAATAGGGTTAGCTTCTAGCTCTGCTGCAGGATGTCAGTTCTTTATTTTTTTATTTATGCTAAGGAGAAAAGTAATGTCACAGCAGTGTTTCCCAAGAGGACTGATACACTAGACCTCTAATGTGCGAGGGTTCGGGGGGGAAAAAAAAAGAGGCAAATAAATGGGATAAGGAAAGGAAAAGAAGATATGGGTTGAAATGCTGAGGAGCAAGGAAATGGGGAGGCTGCTGTTAATGAAGTCGTAGCATGGAAAAGGAGCTAATACAAAAGAGGTAGTAACTGATAAAGGTTGAAGTTATTCTAGCAGCTTCAGGAAAGAAAGAAAAAAAGAGTTTCAGCTGATACGGTAATGGTACACAGGAAAGACATGGGGGTTTTTTCGTATATTTGCTTCTAATTAGTCCTTTAATCAACTCTGAATGCTGGACTTCAATAACTTTTTAGCCCTCTGGGTGACTCTATCAAGGAAACAAATGTTCTCTCCTTCCTGACACCATGTCAGTGCCATGGTGTGGTGAGAACCCCTCTGTTAATGTCTTGGCTTTGTTGAGCCTGAGCTGCCTGAGCCTGCAGCAGAAGTTCAGGTTGCTACAGATGTTGTTGGCTTTTGGGGAACATTGTTTTTTCGACACTTGATTTCACAGCTTTCAAATGGCAGCTTCCTCCTTGTTACAAATTGGATCAGAATCAGACTTACTGCTTGCTTGCTTTTTTTGGTTAAAACTTGAAAACAGTTAAATTGGTAAAAGACCTGAGTTGTGTTGCTGCCAAATACATAAGCTAGAGCTGTGTAAATCTACTTTGTATGTCTTCTCACTCTTTCATTCTGTATTTTGTTATAATTCACAAGCAGAAGTAGAAAATAAAGAGATTGCTTCAAACCTCGACTTACGAAAGATACAGCTAGTTGAAGGCAGCAGTTTCCCTTGGATAGAAGATGCAAGTCTATGATGTTGTCTTACCATAACCACTACATTGTACTTGAAACTTCATGTTACTCTTAAGAACATCAGCATAGCAGATTAATTTTTTCCCTACTACTGCTGGACACTTTCAAGTGCAGACTTAAACATGAGCTAAAAAACCCTAAGTTCATCTTTGTACTAGAATATCAGTGATTCATAGAGCTCTGTCCTTCTGAGCCTGAGTCCAGCTGAGAATGTGTCTCAAATTGTTTTGTTTCTTGAATGCTCTGCTTAATGATTATCTGCAATAGCCCTGAAAACTTCTGTGACCACAAGCAGAAAAAGAGTGAGCAAACTCAGGGGAAGGATTTGACCTGTGTCTTGTCTAAACCTCCTTTCTCTGCACAGATCTCTTCAAGGGAAGCAAGCCAAGAGCAGCAGTGACTTCACTTTGTGTATCAGGTGTAGTTACAGCTACTCTGTGGAGCAAAGCTTTGCAGTGGGTATGGTTCACAACTGAGTACTCAGTACAAAGTACCTTAGGGAATTTTTGCTGTTGTTTAATTTCAGCCTTGTTTGTAGATGACCATCAGTTGGCATTGCTAAGGTAAATCCTGTAGGATATAACTAAGATGATTGTGTTTCTCTAGGAACTGGAGTGTTGTGCAAGGCCTAGACTGGATATTGTACAACCCCTACCTGAGTCCTGTGAAGAAATATCTTCTGATGCACTAACAGTACGAGGATTTCAGGAAAATGAATGTAGAGATTATCATTTAGGTTGGTGTTACTAATATTCTTTTGTTTTCATAACTTGGTTAAAAAGATTGCTTGGGGAGGACTCAACCTCCTTTTTCATTTTTTGGTCATCTCTGTAAATAACTGTCTGTACCCGATTATGACATGGACATATTAAGTGAAAATACACAAGAAACAGTCATATGAAGTAAAACACGTGTGTATTTAAACATCATGGTTTGTATTGTTGCCTATTAAGACAGACATATTGGGGAAGGCAGAAATACAAATCTTTTGTAGTGTCTAGTATTGTGGAAGGAAGTATTTTTTATGGAGATGCATTCAGCACATGAGCTGTGGGGGCTCTTTGGAGACAGAAGACTTCAGGAATAGTGAAATTAGTGATACAATGTCATGGAAGAGCTGCTCTAGAGTCAAAGATGGAATAAATATCACCTCAAAAGTAACACGTATTTGGATCACCTTACAAGGGGCTCACTGTTATTTAGCCTCCCTGAACAGACAAAGCTATTGGCATATAACAGCCCCCAGAATGGTAAAATGTAATGAATAGAAACTGGAGTTTGGCAAGTTCAGCCCAGAAGACACATGTAATTATGTAGCAGGCAGGGAGATTAAGCCCTAGCACAATATATGCCAGAATCTTTTAAATAAGATGGGATGGTTTTCTGATATATGTGTTGTAGTGCAGAAAGATGCATGGCAAAGCTGATGCAGAATTCCTTGGTGAAGATTATATAGCCTATGTTACACGGAAACATTCCTTCTGGCATTTAAAATCCATGAATCTCATTTTTAAGCATCTTCTCTGGCAGCACTCTTCAAATCATAGGCATGTCAGGCCTCTTTGTGTACATCAATGCCCTTAAGCCACTAGAAATACAGTGTATCTCCTCCAGATCTCCAAAACATCTCTGCTACCATCAGTAGAATTGGAATTTCTTTATACCTGTCCCTAAGCAGAACATTGATGCCCACAGTTGTACTTTTATACTTAATGAATATTCTAAGTCTAAATTTTTGGATGGCTTTAAAACAAGTTTTATTTTGTGGATTGCTTATCAGTTCAGGAGTGATTTGCATGCATGTATAGATACAGATAAAAGATGGAGGATGGTTTTCCTTCCTCTATCTACAAAATATTGATGGTGGTTTTTTGTGGGTTCTGTGGAAATAATAGCCATTCTGAACAGTCATCTGTGCTTGATTTTACCTTTAAGTACATTTTTACTTTTGAGCTTACTCAAAAACAAAGGCTTATGGTATAAACAAATGCATTATACATATAACCTTAACTTATAGCATTGCAAATGCATTGCTGTAATGATGTGCTGTGTCCCCAGGGGTTATGGCATCTATCATTTATGCTTTTGATGGCCTTGACCTTGATGGGGAGGATAAGTTTATTGCTGGCTATGTAGTGTAATAGTCCTCTAAAAGTATAATAATGTGTTCTAAACCATCATAAAGTTTACACATAGTGGATGAATCAGAATTTGCAATAAGCTGTAGTGATTTTTTTTTGAAAGCTGTTTTGCCATTTAAACCAGTTTTAATTTATTGGAGAATACAGCTTCCCAAACAGGCATGTTCTGCAGGAGTAGCTTTGCTGTCTTCCTTGTATCTCCTCTTTTTAAATTCCCCTCAAGGGTGTACTAAAAAGCAGGGCTTTACTTAAGGAACATATAATAATAATAAAACTGTGTATGCATTTGCAGAGTATTCGGAAGGTGAATCACTTTTCTATATCATCAGCCCAAGAGACGTGGTTGTTGCTAAAGAGCGGGACCAAGATGACCACATTGACTGGCTTCTTGAAAAGAAGAAATATGAAGTAATTTTTACATCATTCTTTTTCTGTCAGACTTTCCTGGTTTGGAAGGTGGGGTGGGATGATGAACTTTGTTCAGTCCTTTGGATAGGATAGTTTCTGTTCCTGCAGTCAGGGACTAAATGCTTGTGAGGGGTAGGTGTTGACTATACATCTCTCCATCTCTCTGGAGAGTTAGTCTTCCTACTGAAGCAACTCATCTGAATTGCATCGAAGTGAGGCAGCTGAATTAGATGCCATGAATACTGCTCTCAGCACCAGATATGAAATGTATTAGCTGTCAGTGAACATTACTAAAGCTGGGTTTTGGCTTCAAAGCAGCAGGACAGTTAACTAATGAGCTACTTGGATACCTTTCTAGATCTATCTCAAATGAAGAAAGAAGGGAAATGAACATGATATGGAACATTAAATTTATTTTTTTTCCCCTATTCTATATCACATCCACAATAAAGTCAAAAGGTTGTGTTAGGATACTGTATGTTGCTCTATGTTACTTACTTCAGTCTGCAAGTTTTTAAAAGCAAAATAATTTGGGCTTCAACTGTAGGTATTGGTGTGAAAGTAGTGTTACTCCCAAAAAAAGAGAGCCAGTATTAAAAAAAACCATATATCTTCGTTGGTAAAAAACAGCTCAGTATTTGGTTGCCTCTATATTGGTGTCTTTAAGCATGTTTAAACACAAAACAATAGTAATAGAAAGTTCTTACAGACAATATTAGCATACATCCAGTGTTTTGAAGTCCTGCAGTTAATAACTTACAGCACTTGTTAAAGTTCATAAAGTATCTTGCAAATGCTTTCTTACATGTTATTTCTTCGATGCCCATTATAAGAAAAAGAATGTGGGAAAGCCACTCAGCATGTATTCCTTTCGTTAATGCAATCATGATATTCCTCATGCAGATGTTTAAATCCTTGTGGATGCTTTTGCATCTGAATATCAAACTGATATGATGAGTGCAGTTTTGCAGTTTATGTAAATCACAGCATTTGGTCCCTGAAGACTCCAGTAATTTGCAAGTGACAGCTGTGTGTGTGCCTTTGTGAAATCTATTCAGAGTAGTAGATGGCTTGTGTGTTATGATGTATGGTAAAGGTTTCATTTTGTTTGTAAAAGTGCCAGCTTTGTTTCTGTACATTTGAAAGAAGCAGAAGAAGAGAAAACAACACTTCAATGTAAATGTCTGACTGGAGAAGACTTTTGGGCTGGGGAAGTGAAAGGTAGCCTTCTCCCATCCCCTTTCCTGATGATTTTTTTCTCACAGGTTTTGGTAGTGAAGAGTTCTCATTTGAAAATGATCCAATGCGATGGCATTGTCTGTTTCATTGTAATCTTGCTATTTGATCCTAATATAGTAATGTGGAGTGAACCCAGATGGAAACAAAAGTAGTTTTCTCTTTGCTTGACTGCTTTTGTTTGAGTATGAATTCAAAGCTGTTCATCCAACCATGGCATTAAAAATTCTATTGCTTCAAACACCCTGCTCTGAAAAATAGTTGATTTATGTAGTTCTAGAGCTTTCTGTATTGAAAGTTTGTTGATTTGGCTACTATTTCTGTTTTCTACTTTTTGAATATAGGAAGCTTTGATGGCAGCTGAGATAAGTCAGAAAACCATAAAAAAGCACAAGATTTTGGTAAGTCTCAAAATAGTTTATCAAAGCAAAGTATCTGGTTGGTTTTAGAAGGCTGTAAGATGCTTCAAATAGTACCCCTGCTCTGAATGGCAGCAGACAATAGCTATTAGGCATACTCCAACTGGCACTCAATTTCCCAGTTTCAGCAGCAGAAGAGGAACCTTAGTGTGTGAAACACGAAAGGATCTGGATTTATGAAGGTGCTATTAACATGAAAAAGAAGAGAGATGCACTTCTCTGTTTGCTGATAGGATTTTGGCTTGCTTTTACTTCTGTATTAAATTTGTTGTTGTTTCCAGTAACAGACAGTATTGCAATATTAGAGATTGGAAGGGGGTGACGCATTTCTCTTTTACCTTTTACATGTGACGGGGTTTTGGCAGGAGTTTAAAAGGTGCAATTGGAAGACCTTTTAAATGCTATTGATATTCAGTTGCAGTTTCACATCTAGCTCTCATGTTGCTTTGCAATTCTCATTATTTACATAGTTAAGCTCCTTTTTTCCTGTGTAGTTATTTCCTATGTTCGTAGTTCCTTCACAGAGCAACAAAGGATATTGATTAAGAGAAGAGGGGTGTGGGGATAAAGCCACAAAAAGCATTTCTATTTTAGCCTTTTTTGTTTGACTTCCACATGAACTTACTGGTATTTAATTAATACTGCTGCTGCTTTAAATGGAAGCTTGCTTTTAAGTACAAAGTGTTAGAAGACATACTGAATTTTTAGATTACTGCTATAATATGTACGCTGCATATCAGTATGTCTTAAAAATTATTTTCTTGTGTAGTCCAGAAGTTGAATCAAGACCTAATGGCATGCCATCACCTATCACAAAATTTGCATGATTTAACTGCCCTGTGACCCTTTCAAAAGTTGCAAAGAATTCTTAAAGGAGGTCCTGGCAATTCAGGCTTTTCTCTTGGTTTGCAAAAATTTGCTCTGCTAGAAGGAAATTTAGTGTGAGTATATACAAATAGAGCAGTTGAATGTTTAGTCTCTATTGCAAAATGCATGGAATGTGTTGAGGAAAAAATGTTGACATCAACTTTTAGGAGAAGGGTTAGTGAGTGGTACAGGGATTTAAATAACTCATGATATCACTGCCCAGCAGCAAGCAGACCAGTGATACTGCACTCACACCACCTAACAAGTCTAGTGGTCTTGGGGCTCCTTTTAGATTGCAGTGATGATGACTGCCCCTCTGCACCTCTTGAGCAGAATGGAAGGGTCCCAAACAACCACAGATGTACAGCACCTTTCCTTATACCATCTTCTCTGCTCAGTGGGGAGCTTGTCCACAGGAGAAGGAGACTGCCACAAGTCTTCAATGCTTGATAATGGTGAAGTTGAAAGTGTGAAGGTGGTTCCTATAGCAAAATTAAATCCTAAAATCTGGTGTATGTGCATGAATTTATTGCTTTAAAACTTTGTAGTAGATTAAACTATTGAAGTTGTTGAGTACCTCAGCTCATATTCTGTGCAATTCAGTACTGTCATTGATTTTGATCAAAAATGTTATGTTGTACTTCGGAAGACAAAATGGGGTTTTTTTTTACAAAGCAAGGACTTTATTTTTTCATTGTACAGCCCTCTTTTTTTCTGGAAGTAATGTGCTTTTAGTGATGTGATTTGTAATTTATGCAGTGGGTACACTGGTACTGCATTGCCCTTGACACGAGCATTGGGTTTACAGCAGAATGCATGATTGTATCACCAAAATTGTAATATATTTATTGCCTACCAAAATAATTTTGCAGCTGACCTGTGCGATAAACACTTGAGAGGAAAATTTGGTACATAATAATAGGTAACAATCTTGCTAAATTCTCACTAATTCCTCTACTATATGGAGCAGCACTAGGATTTATATTCTCAATCAAGGTTTTTTCCTCTGAAAACTGTTTTTACAAAAAAGGTGTCTCATACAGTAGCTGTTTGGTTTCTTTTTGAGATACCTAATGCAGGCACTGGCTGATCAGCCATGTTTTTTAGAGCAATTCTTAATATGTAGAGGTGGCACAGCCTTTCTGTTGTTAATTTGAACCTGTGAGTAATCTAGGCAAGTATTTTGTGTTGACTAGTTTGTGGGCCCTAAATGTGAAGGAGAATTGGGAGTATCCACTTAGGACCTGGTGCTTGACCTAGCAATGGTGCATACAGCTGGAATTACAATTGTTGTGGCAGTCAAGTGTTTGACTTCCAAACTTTTATAACTAATTCCTTGTTTTTATTCCCTTTAGGATATTGGCTTAGCCTATATAAATCATCTAGTGGAGAAAGGAGAGTATGACCTGGCTGCTCGGTAACTTATTAAGATTTTTTTTTTGGTGGCTAAAGTGTATCTGTGTGAAAAAAAGAAGCAAAAGTAAATTACTGATTCTGAAGTATTTTGTATTGTTGATTTTTCTGTGTGTTCTAGAGTTTCTGAAGATTCAAAACATACAGATTTGTATGGACCCTATTTTTCTTGCCTGTATTGGCCCTAAAGTTACTGTAAACTTACTGAAGTATAATCAGAATTGAGACATATATATTTTTGAAAGTAAACCTTTATTTTTTCAGTCACATTAAGTTTTCCAAATAGATATTTTCTTTGGATGTTCATAATCTTAAGTTTATTAGTGTGTCATAACATGTTCGACCGTCAGAAAATAAATTGTGGTCACATGGGTGTAAATAAAAATGTCAAATCTGGGTAACTAAAGTAAGCAACAGAAATTAGTGAAGATGTGTGTCTTCACGTACATATATACATAAACATATTTTTAAGTATTCAATTTTATTTGGCTGGGATTTAAAAGTTTCACTCATAAAGCTAATATGGCCTTAATCAATAAGGGTAAACGCATAATAAACTGTTATGTCCTTTTGGATGCAAAGAAATAGTAAGATCTGAGAGGAGTACCTAGCATACTTGAAGCAATGGTTGCCAGAATGAGAGACCCTTGAAAGTGCTTTCATTAGGGAGAAGAAAGGAGAAAGGAATCCTTGCAGTAATGCTGTCACATTTGTATTGCTCTGTGTGCCTACTTTTTTTCTCCCCTTTCATCTTCTTTCCAGAAAGTGCCAGAAAATTCTTGGCAAAAACACAGAACTCTGGGAGTTTGAAGTTTACAAGTTTAAAGAAATAGGTCAGCTTAAGGTAAGTTAATTCCTATCTCTGAACTCCAGTAATTGCTGTTCTGTATTTCTTGCATGTTTTGACCAAGTATCTCAGGTATCTGAATGCCATGTTTAATGGCACTAGAGTGGTAGGAGGGTATAAAACTGCCCTCAGAATTCCTGCACCAGCTCTCTACGTGTACAGTTTTCATTCAGTCTGTGTGTATGTTAACAAGCGTCAAAACAGGGTTGGAAGTGTAGCATATCCAGGTGCCTATTTTTGACTTGTTGTCAGCCCACAGGTAGAAGACCCACACCCAAGGCCTTTACTTTTCACAGCTGCTCACAGTGAAATACATCTTTCCTATTTACTTTTCTCTTGCTTCAGTGTGTCTTGAAAAATCCTACCCCAACTCTTAAGGAAAATAGCTTTTGTGGGTGCCAACCTTTCCTGAAAATCCAAGTCCCCTGCAACAGAGATGAAGCTTTAAGTGTCAAGCGTAGTTAAATTGCAAAGCAACAGGGAAAACCTGTGCTGTGTGCTAGAAATGGAAGCAGGGGAGGGGAGCAATCTGCCCTGTCTTGTGTTTTCCCTGGTCACAAGCCAGCTACCATAACAGTACACATTTATTGTGAGATTCTCAGTTAATAAAATGCCTAGGACATAAGGCTATTGTGCTGTCACTGCCAAGCCAGTAGAAAACATTATGCATACTCCCTTTGGTAATGCATGTACTTTTAGTTCTGAATTTTATGTCTTCCTATTCAAACTCAATGAGCCAAAAAGGACATATTATTAAGATCTCACAGCATGCAGTCCTCTGCTGGTTTTGAGCTGTTTAAATCTGTTCAAGGAGCAAGAGTGTTTCAATATTACAGTTTTCAGAAATATCTGGCCTTTGTTTTAGAGCCTGTGCAAGGAAAACCTTGCCTTTTGTATGAGTTCTCAGTGTTTCAATGCACTCTGTCACCTTGAAAGCTGAAAACTCATGATTCTGTCTCTTTATTTCAATCCAGTAAAGGACCTGAGTGTAAGTACAGGTGAAATTTCGATACAGTGTTCCTTAGTCCTTTTGAGTTTATTTTGTTTTTTAGGTGTGAGTGTCTGGAGTGGATGTTTTTCTTTTCTCCACTTATGTCATCCAACAGACTGTAAAATATAAACATTTTTGCAGGTTTGTTGCAAAAACATCTCTGCTAAATTACTGCCTTTCTAAACGGTTGTTTTCAGTCCCTTGCAAGTAGACTTAGAAAAACATAGGCTGGAATCCATTGCATTACTCTGCTCCAAGCTGCAGTTCTAGAAGATGCCTTTCTTACTTTATTTCAGCCACGTATAACTTGTCCCAAGTTCCTAAAGATAATTGAACATCATAAAGGATATTCAGTTAAGCCAGATCTAAATGAAGCTGGTTTTGAAATGAATATCACCTGTGTGATATTTGCAATTTTTACCTATTTACCCAACCAGTGGGTATTAAACATGGTAGTGCCACTGGACTTTAATGGCTTTAAGCTCCAATGAGGACACTCTTTTTGAGATTTGCAGACAAAGTGGATTTCAAAAGGGAATTTTCTTAAAGCATTTGTACTGCATAGAAGTGATTGCCTGAAATCTCATGTTTCCAATATAACATGATTTGCCAGTAACTAAGGTGACAGTGAAACTAAAGGTTTAAACTTTCCTTCCTGCAGAGGGACTGATTAGTGATACCCCAGTGTCAAAGCCTGTGAGGCAAGCGTCTTGTTTGTTTGCTTTTGGGATTTAGGTTTTTGAGTGTTTTGTACTAAAGGCTCTTTTGGCCATAAGAGACTGCATTTTGGTGTCTTGATGTCTCTTATGTCTTCAGTGAATGTCCACTAGCAAACCTTGTAATGGGAATTTCAAGATTTTAGAACCTTGCGTGGCTTGATGGAGTTAATGTGCTTGTGCTTGAGTCACTTCAATGTTAAGTCCAATGTCTCAGCTGAAGCAGCTGAGGAAGGTGAATTGAAAGGAAGATGCCAAACTCCGTAAGTGCTGACTGTTGTGGCATGAGGGATATGCTCCATTCTGTTGAGTCTGCTGTGACAGCAGTGGCTTTTTGCAGGGGTGCAGGATGATCAGCTAGCAGCAGCAGTGCTTTAATGACCAAAATACTGGCTTGAAGACACATGAAAAACTTGGTGTGACCATGGTGAACATAGAATAGAGCAGCATTATCCGGACAGTCTCTTTTATCTCATAGGTATCCTCTGAGGAATAAATAATTGTGCCTTGGGCTTATTGGTGAGATGTTTTAGGCTATCTCATGTCAACTTCTGTATGGGCTTTCTTGTGTATACCTTGTCCTTATACCTATTGATCAAAAGTCTGAAAACAGGTCGTAAGAAGAAATGAAGAAAATATTTCTGTGTGTAGTATTTCTTTTTTATTCAAAGTGGCTTCCACCACGTGGTTCATGAACTGATATAAAGGCATCCTGGCTCTGCAGCTTAACAATACAATGCAAAGAGATTTTGTAACCTTCAGCCCAGGTCTGAGTTTACCTTTGTGCCTAGGCTTAAAAATAACTTGGATGCTTCCTAGTTTTTGCTGAGCGCAGGGGCCAAACTGCAGGAGGTGGTTGAGCTCTTCCTTCAAAGCAGGGGGGGCTTGGAGCAGGAGAGATTTTCTTCCTGAGGCAGCCTGGCCCCACACAGCGAGGCAGCTGCACCTCTCCGCAGCTCACTGTGTGGTTAAACCCCAGCCTAGAGTAGCAGCAAAGCCTTAGGAGGTGGCAGGAAGGTTTGAAAACAACTGTTGGAGAATGTCCTCTGCCTTCAATTCTCTAGCTGATATCCAGCTTGCTTTATGGTCAGAAGAGGCTTTTTTTATGAGGGGGTCAGGAATATGATTCCCCAGGGCAGCTGGCAAGACTGTGCCCTGAGTTAGCTGTTAAATTCTGTGACAGACGGTGGGAGCTGATGTTGGCAGTATGTTACATTTCAAAGACTGGCCAAGCTCAAACACTGTGGGAAGAGAAGAGGTCTCCTGTGATCAATGAACTTTGCAAAAATTAGAAGTCATTAACAGTGCTTTTTTCACTTGGTCTTTTATTTTTTGTCTCCTTTTTCAGCTATGGATGGAAGACTGGCATGAGCTATGTAACTTAGACAATTGTTTTTATTTAAATCCAGGAGAATCTGTTGTGAATAGTCATTGCTATCTGTAAAGCTACCAAAAAGTATTTAGTGAGATCTTACTTCTCCTGCTTTGTCCAAGCAACTTCTGTAAGAAAATTGCTACTGCACCATGTGACAGTGGGCAGCAGGCAACACCTCTGAGTGGTTGGATGAATTTCATCAGTGTTGGACCTTCAGCTACAACCCCCAATGTCCCAACACAGCTGGTAGCAGCAGGGTTTGTTTTGGCAGGCAGTGAAATAACCTTGGCCTCTGGTTGCATGGAATATAATAGGGCTAGTAAGATGCTGCGCTGAAATTTCAGGGTATGAGGTGATTCATTCTGGCCGGTTCTTGTCTCCTGCCTGCCAGAATGCACTTCTTGAACGCCTTCTATAGGGCAACAAATCACATGCCTTCACCTGTTCCATGGAGAGATGAGTTCTCAAAATAACTTTCATTTGGGTATGTAAAAATAGCTGGCAAAACAGAACTCTTCATAAAATGTAGTGACCTAACAGTAAGTCAAAAAACAAAAGTACATGTTTTTCAGCTAATGAATGCTTATACCTTTATACAAGATAAAAGACCAAGACTGGAAAAATTAATTGGGAAAACTCCCTTATTCTGGTGGGTTTTATTTTCTAAATGACTAGAAGTAATTACTCAGATGCCTTAAAGTGTAATGACTGATAATTCCAATTCTAACTCTGATCTTGCCACTATTTTCCTAAGGAAAATTCTATCAGAGAAGTAGTACAGCTTCAATCTGTATAATCCTAAAGCAAATAAATTTAGGATACTGCTTACAAATATGAATATTAAGTGCTTCCAGTGTTTACCAAGAGCCATATTTTGCAAGTAGCTTTGGGGTTTTGGGTTTGTTTTTTTTTTTGTTTCATTATTCTTTTTTCTATCATCAGTGTGCTATGATGTTACATGTAATTCCCCTTCTAACACTTTGTTCTCTGTGCCCCTGTAGGCAATTAGTCGTTACTTGCCCAGACGAGATCCAGTTTTGAAACCTTTGATCTATGAAATGGTCCTGCATGAGTTTTTGGAGAGTGACTATGAGGTACTGCAACCTGACATGTCCAAGTGTAATAGCTATTGCCAGCAAAACACCCTCAGCAATGTGGAACTCTGATAGCAAATTCTCTGATGCATTCAAAGAGATTATCAGTGGAAATTCAAAGATAATGACAAGATTAAAAAGATTAATTTGGCTTTAGTTTTTAAGAGAATAAGTAGAATGTTATTCAGAGCACACATATACTGCAATGTTGGTTGTTTATTATAAATACTATTATGTGTCATTTCTTTAATGTAGTACAAGGGGTTGAGGTGCTGCTCAAAGCATTCAGCACCTGAAAGCAACCCAGCTTCATGAATCTTAATAACATTGCCCTAAGAAGGAAAATCTGTGTTCTGCACTGTGCACATCTGTGGGCACGTAAAAGTGGCTTAGAGGTGCAGCACAGCAGGTATCATCTCAGAGGCTTAGCTGAAGCTTTGATGTTTTGAAATGCTCCTTAGGCAGTTCTTTCTATTTCTTTTACAATCTCTTATACTTTTAGGGGTTTGCAACCCTGATAAAAGAGTGGCCTGGAGATCTCTACAACAACACAATCATAGTTCAAGCTGTAGTAGATCACCTGAAGAAAGATCCACAGAACAGGACTTTGCTACGAACACTTGCAGAATTGTGGGTACAATTTTAAACTCTTATTACAAAAAGCAAGCTTGAAATAGTATACTGTAGTTTATAAATATTTGTCTAACTCTCTTAAAAATATCCCCTTTCTGCAGTCTACAAAGTATTGGTTTTCTCTGCTTTCCACACTGCTGATTGCACAGCTTAACAATTCTTTTCCCTTCCTTATAAAGTGTATGCCAAGTATGAATGCAAAAGAGTTTCATCTAAGATTGGATTTGCTACTTCTCTTTACAATAAAATAGCTAGCATTCCTCTTTGTGCAATCACAAGGAGCCTCTTTTGTGAAGTGTGCATTTCAGAATTACCCACAGGAAAACAAAATGGCTTTTTTCCCTTCAATTTCAGAAGTATATTTAGGTTTACTGCATGGCTGGAAATATGTGACTGCAAAATGTGCTAAAACTGATCTGGTTCTAGACTACTTCTTACAGGGATAAAGCTCTTAGGTTTTTTCAGCATGATCCCTATGTTAAGTTCTTTACATGCTGCTGCTTTGTAGAAAGCAGTGCTATTGCTGTGTTACAGTCTGTTCCAGAGTCTTAAAAGAACAATGGTTTTAAGTTCTGACATGGGTTCCAGTTAGTTACCAAACATGGAAGAGCCAGCATTTTCTGTGGCAGAAAATGTGGAGAACCACAGGTCAGAAGACAAATGCAATGACTGATATAAACAGGATGGAAATTAACATTGCCCAGTGTTATTTTTCCTCAACAAAAGTCAATCACAGCAACTAGTCATGTATTCATCAAAGCAAGTAGAGTTTTGGTTGGAGAAGACCTGTAAGATCATCAGATCCAACCATTAACCTAGCACACTGCCAAGTCCACCACTAAACCATGTCACTAAGCACATCTGCCTGTCTAGGGATGGTGACTCGACCAATTCCCTGGCTAGGCTGTTCCGTTGCCTGACAACTCTTTCAGTGAAGGAATTTTTTCTATTATCAAATCTAAGCCTTCCCTGGCACAACTTGAGACCATTTTTCTTTTCCGTTACAAGTTACTCAGGGGAAGACACCAATATCCACCTTGCTGCCACCTCCTTTCAAGAGAAGCCTTTGCATCCTAGGATACATTTATATTTTCCTTCATAGGTGATTTTCCTACGCTTAGATATCTAATATCACTTATTATTGTTTTTTATCAGGTATACTTATGACCAGCGCTATGGCAGAGCCCTAGAAATTTACCTAACACTGAGGCACAAAGATGTCTTCCAGTTGATCCACAAGCACAATCTTTTCAGTTCTATCAGAGACAAAATTGTTCTACTCATGGATTTTGATTCAGAGGTATGATGATTGTAATGATTTAATATTCACTTTCCACTAGAGATATCTTAACAGATTAAAAATAAATGAGGTAAAGGTAGTGTTGAAGAGAGAGTGCAATTGCTGTGTCTTGATACATTCTGAGATGAGAAGGTATTTGCATAGACTGTAAAATATTTGACCCAAAGTTATTTTTCTTTTTCTTTGGTATTTCCATTGGAGTATCACTCCGTGAGAAGAGTCTCTGACCCAAGATCATTGTTGAGTTCCTTGGATAAACTTCCACTGTGTTATTTTTTTTGCATTTCTAATCAGATAATGCTATTAATAAGCAAAAGAAAGGAAGCAGTGAATTTACTGTGAGGCATATGTAGTTGCCACTTTCCTTTCTCTGCAGTCAACTGATCTGCTTCTGAAAGTTTGTAAGTTTATTAACTTTAAATTCCAAAAATCAAGAAGTGTGCATTTTGTGTTGAATTTAATCTTCTTTCTTCCTGGCTGGCCAAAACCTCAGAAAACGAGTTTTTGTGTGATCCTTGGGAAATAATCAAGTAGGTCTGCTTTTTCAATGCAGCGGTTTTCTAAGCACTGGAGCTAAAATGTAGAGCCATCTGTACCAAAGATGCTAATTTTGATATGGCCATTCTGAACTACATGAGAAAAAAAATCATTTTTTTTTTATTAGACTAAATTATATAAATAAGCTTTGATTTTTGTAATTTTTTTTATTTGAAGCAAAGTTTGTGCTTGAAAAAGGAATCAGAACAAGAATGCTGTTGGCCACTCTGCTTACATGATCTCATGTGCTTATGTTGCAGTATTGGTGTGCAAATAGTTTGGAGGAATCCAGTTGTGTGGCAAGTTGAGTTGTATGTTTCCTACACAGCCATCACCCTGCCATCATCCCTTTTGCAGTGGGACAAATAGTATTTCTACATCATTTAGTGGTGGCCTTCCATAACCTCTGATTTGATGGGCATACTTCACCTGCTATATAAGTGCACAGTATTGATTGCTATTAGTGTGGAAACTTAGGAGAGGTATCCTAAAAGAATATGTAATGTGCTCTCCTGTAATGCTGTGCAGTTAAGGAATGCTGATGTTATGCAAACTGCTCTCTGAATTACTGTTGCTGAAAAGAGCAGGTCTGCAATATCCATCTGGTACCTATCAGCAAACAAGCAGAATACTATATAGAGTGTGAGAAAACCTGTGTACCTGTTTCTTAACTGGGCTCTCTTTTTCTTTTCTTTAGAAAGCAGTAGACATGCTTTTGGATAATGAAGACAAAATTTCTGTGAGTATAACAAGTTTGTGGCACAGCAGTCCCATCCTTTCAGCCCTGTGAGTGTGATGTTCATTATAGGTTGGCTGATGGGTTGGGTTTTATTTGTTTTCTTTCAGATTGACAGAGTTGTTGAAGAATTAGAAAGCAGGCCTGAGCTACAGCACGTGGTAAATATTTCTATATATCTGTATTTTTCAATATTTTTAATAGTCAATATTTCTGTAGTTTTCAAGTTGAGCTGAATAAACTCTTTGCTGGGCAGGTATTTTACAGATACTCCTGTCAAAGTTCACGTGACACTGAAGTGTCATAAACCATCAGAGTAAAAGTTGCTACTTTTGGTAATTAATTTTTTAACATAGCCATAGCTTTTTACAATAATAAAAGAATTTTAAAATGTGTACCTGTGAGAACTTGATAACATGCTACTTACTTGTTAACATACTACAAGGTATTCCTTATGGCACTGGAGACACTTGACTTCTCTGGTCAATTACTTCTTGCTTGTATCCCTCCTCTTTCCCCACACAAAAATGGAGTTGGATGGCAGGTGTAACTCTGAAACATGTTTTGCTGCTCCATAGAGACAGTGAACTGCTTGTCTTTCTAGAGCTGTAACTTCTGTATACTGCAGGATCGTTCTTGTTTGTGCAGAATTACAATATCACTGTAAGTCCACAGCTCAAAGTTGCTATTCCAAAAGCACCTCTTCGGTTTGAACGTGCTGTCAGTGGAATGTGTAACGTGTAACTATGGGCTTGGGCTGTGTTAGGGAGGGAAGTTTAACTTGCAGCTGTGTACAGATGAGGCTCAGGTCATTGCTCAGATGGAGAGCAGGTTTATATGTTAGAGATCTGATGATAGGAAGCAGCTCTATGGAGTGTGCAGCTCACAGCCCCGAGAGCTTTGCAAAGATGACTGACTGACTGTCAGTTTATGGAAGGGATGCATCAGTTGGAAAGTGTGAGGCCTGCTTGCCTTTGAATGAAAGTGACTCTGTATTATTCTCAAGGCTTTTCTGTGCCTATCTAGAGAGAAGGAGCTTTGCCCAACTGTCTGTGGTTTGAGGTACTTTGCTTAAAAAGCTTCATGTGGTAAAAAGGTCAATCTGTAGTTATCTGTAATGATCAAATATATCTAGATAACCAAAATGGTTTATTTGATATATTTGTCCAAAGTTTTCTGCAAAATTCAAAATGCAGTAGTTTCACTGACAATTTTTTAACTGTTCCTTGAAAACCTGTTTTATAGAGCTGGTTTAGGAGGTTGCTGTGATGAGGGTACTTCAGAAAAATGTAAAACTAGTCTTTTTAATCAGAATTTAATTGCTGTGCCTTTTAGTATTTGTTAGGATATTCCTGAGGAAATTAAGAGGACGGTGAATTTTTTAGCAGAGAACAAGTAATATTGCCTAAGTTGTTTTGAGTTATGATTCTCCCTTTGATTCCTAGTACTTGCACAAGCTTTTCAAGAGAGACCACCATAAAGGTCAACGATATCATGAGAAACAGATCAGCCTTTATGCAGAATACGATCGTCCAAATCTACTACCATTTCTAAGAGACAGCACACACTGTCCACTAGAGAAGGTAAGCTCCCAAAACCTAACTGCAGGTCCTCGATTTTCCTGTCTGTAGCTTGTAGTGTTGAGAATTTCTAACCGTGTCTAGTACTGCCCTCTGCTGCCAAAAGGAGAGATCCTTTTCATATGTGACCACCACCTGCAGAAGTTTGGCTTGCAGAGCTGGCTGACAGCTAAGACCTTCCTCTGTCAGCTCACAGAGCAGGAGTCCATGGGGACTTCTAATGGAGACATTCTGAATTCGCACTTGATGCCTACCTGCAGCATAACTACACATTAGTGCTTGGCCTGACAGGACAGTGGGTTCTTAATGTAGGAAATGTACAAGCATTTCCCAAACCTAGGCCTTGTCAGTGTTAGATCTTGAAAAATGTGTAGCTGTAACTGGAGTTTTTCTGCCTTTGTATTCTACAGTCCTAAGTTGCTTTCAAATAATATTCATAATGTAACAGACACTGAGCTAGCAGAGATGGAAGTATTTCATCTTTGTACTTCTGCTAGTAGACTTGTGGTTTTAGAGGGTACCATGTTTCCACTTTCTTTGACCTTTTTAACATTATGGTTCCTTGCTCTTTCTAGTCAAATTAAAATAAATAAAGTTAAGGACAGTCTTGGGTTTTGATTATTTTTTTTTCCCTGCTGAATTGAAGTGAATCGAAGGGAAACAAGTTTTTCTCTTTAGTTAGGTCAGTAATTTATTATTTGTATTTGTTGCAGTTAATGAACAAGCAGAGCAGACTTTGTGAAAGGATGCATACTTTCTGTGTGCAACTATAATTATGACACCAGTGGAGTAGTTTAAAGTGTAATACTGAATATTGCATTTTATGTGGTTGACAATCTAAAGGGAACTAATACTGTTCCTGGCACCTCTCTTGTTTTACATACTTTTCTCTGCTGTGCAACAGCAGGAAGTGCTGGAAAATACTTGTAGGATTGAAGGCTTGGCCTTTGTTGAAACTGTTGCACAAATCGAGGTTGTCTCGGTGGTCTGTTTAGGCAATGGGCCCAAGAGTTTTCCAGCCAGAGACTTTTGCCTATAGTCATGGCTTATTTGGTTTTAACTTTCTGATTCTCTGTTAAATTTTGCCATATATGCTATTTTCATGATCATGGTTTTATGTATAAAAGCTTACCTACACTTTTTCTTTTGCCCAAGTCTAGTTTTAGTTACTGCAGATCCAGCTGCCTATCTTCAGTGATGGATGGTGCAGAAAAGTGCTGTGTGTAAATAATGCAAGCACATTGCTGGCACTGCTTTGCTGAAGTTATGGGCTGTGAGCAAGAATATTTCAGAGACCTGTGAACATTTGGAAGGTGTGGTGCAGTAGTCACCAAAGTGAAAGAAAAGGATGTTAGAAAAAGTGACATTCTCACCTTACATTAAAATGTTAATATGTTTAAGTAAGAAGCTCATTTCTTAAGTAATTCTTAAGTAAGAATTCTCGTTTCTTAAATGTACACCACTTTTATTCAAGTGCAATGTAGCAATTGTTTTATAAAGAGCACTGAAACAGAAGTATAAATGTTCACTGTTTTCCTCTAGAGGGAGCATGACAGTCAAGAACGGTGCAGCATCCAGAAGTACTGAATAATTGGTACTTTGTAGCTTAACTTCTAAGTGGAGAGAAAAAAGGTTATTACCTGTGTTTATAAGTTAGCATTATTGATGTCTTCATTCCCATGAAATACCTGGTTGGTAATTCACTTACCCTTACTCTGAAATTCATTGCCAGTATCTCTGATCTTCATAGCAACCCATCTGAAATATTTGAGAATGGAACAAAAAGTTAATTCCTATGTACATCTTTAGTTGTAGCTGTATCTTATGCATTTATAGCTTTGATTTCCAAGTATGAAAGTCTTTATTGGTGAGCAGTTGCCTTCGCAAGAATGCCATGAATCTTGAGTTTGGTTTCCAGATTGGAATCAGAATACCAGCCCCACCAATTTTCTGTTACTAATACTTGTTGCTTAAAAGTTTGGTAATTTCGGTAGTTGTGCTCAGTGTTTGTCAACTACACACAGACTCAGTAACTGCTTGAGGCATTTAGCTGTCGGGTTCTTAAACCAAATTTGCAAGAAGTGCTTCGTCATTATTCTTCCATACTCAGGTTGGGTTGGTTTTTGTATTTCTTCTTGGAGGTTACTGGTACAAAATTTGAAGGGCACATTATGCCTTCCAAAACCATTCTGGTTACCTTGAGAAGATCTACAGGCTTGTATTAAGAATTAATGTCAAGTAGACCTCCATCACTGCAGATTTCGTAAGTCTGCCCACTGGAAGCAGATTTTGACAGAGTTAACTTTAATGCTTTTGGATTAACCAGTTTTTGAAAGCAGAAGAAAGACATTGCCAGTGGATTTAAAGGTAGAGATTAGCATAAACCGAAGCAAAGTACCTGTCCTGTCCCCAGATTTAATCTTGTAGATAAATAAAAAAAACAACATGGAGTTTCTCTTAATTAATGGCAGGGAACCTGACAGTGCGTATTAAAGGAGCTGTATTCCTGTCAAAATGAGTAATGCAACTTCATGAAAAAGTATCTTTAAGCCTCTTGCAGTATTTGTGATCAATAAAATATCATGTTACATGGTTCCTGTATTCTCTTTC